CCCGGCCCCCACCTCTGCATGGTGGGTGGGGGCCATAAATCTCAATGGGGGGGGACCTACTGTCCTCCCGCCCGCCCCCACACGTGAGCGGTGGGTGGGGGCCATAAAAAAAATGAGGGGGGGGACCTACTGTATGATGTTGTATCGATCAGGTAGTGTAAGGGTTACGCCCACTTCACAATGACAGACCAAACTCCCCATTTAACGCACCACAAACAACCGCAAACAGTCCATTTGCACAACCGCAAACTCCCCATTTGCACAAGGTTGGATACCAAGCTAACCATGTCCCGTTCCTTGTCCTCACTGATGTCATTGAAGGTCTATTCCTCCACCCAGCCACGTACAACACCAAGGGTCCCCAAAAGGTGACAACAAGCCCCCTGGGACGCCTGCTGTGTTTGGTCTTCCACCTCCTCAAAGCCACCTTCCTCCTCTGACTCCTCTCTCTGCGTTGCCTCTCTCTGCGTTATTATAAGGTGTGTTAAGTAATATATTCCTATCAGTTTAATCCCTGTTACGTCCCCTATCAGGGGATGTGTATATGGCATTGATTTTAGGAACCGGGAGATGGAAAAAGATGCTTGGTCGGTCCTCCTACTTCAAATTTGGGGCACTGCGCGTGCAATCTAATGTGCCACCAGGTAGGAGTGGTGTGTTAAGTAGTACTATTCTTATCAGTTTAATCCCTGTTACGTCCCTTATCCGTTGATGTGGAGCAAGACGCAGCAGCAGAGGAGGACTCAGCCGAGGAGGTTATGGAAGAGGATGGAGTAGGAGGAGTAGAGGAGGTGGCAGCAGGCCTGCCTGCAAGTCGTGGCGGTGTCACCAACTCCTCTGCAGAGCCGCGCATTCCATGCTTGGCAACCGTCAGCAGGTTTACCCAATGCGCAGTGTAGGGGTGGCCTGCCTCTGCCTGTCATTTTGTTTTTGATTAGTGGTACTATGCGTGCAAGCTACTGTGACACCAGATATGAGTGGCTCTATGAACTGGCAGAGGTTGGCAGAGTACACGCTGTAGGGCTGACATACCCGCTTGAAGACAACTAACTGCTATTCAATCTATAACAGTGAAAAAAGTTTTTTGTTTTTAAATGCAAGCTATTGTGACACCAGATATGAGTGGCACTGTGAACTGGCAGAGGTTGGCAGAGTACACGCTGTAGGGCTGACACACCCGCTTTAAGGACACTGACTTCTATTCAATCTATAACAGTGAAAAAAGTTTTTTGTTTTTAAATGCAAGCTATTGTGACACCAGATATGAGTGAGTGGTGGCACTGGGCACCGTATCCACTGTGAGCTTAACACACCCACTTTAAGGACACTGACTGCTATTCAATCCTATAACAGTGAAAAAAGTTTTTTGTTTTTAAATGCAAGCTATTGTGACACCAGTGAGTGAGTGGTGGCACTGGGCACAGTATCCACTGTGAGCCCTGGCCACCTGCTTTGAGACAACTAACTGCTATTCAATCTATAACAGTGAAAACGTTTTTGGTTTTTAAATGCACGCTATTGTGAAACCAGTGAGTGAGTGGTGGCACTGGGCAAGTGGGCACAGTATACGCTGCGAGCCTGACACACAGACGCTTGCAGACAACTAACTGCTATTCAATCTATAACAGTGAAAACGTTTTTTGGTTTTTAAATGCACGCTATTGTGACACCAGTGAGTGAGTGGTGGCACTGGGCAAGTGGGCACAGTATACGCTGTGAGCCTGACACAGTAGTTGGCAGACAACTAACTGCTATTCACCCAAAACAGTGAAAAAAGTTTTTTGTTTTTAAATCCAAGCTATTGTGACACCAGATGTAAGTGGTGGCACTGACTGAGGAAATGGGCACAGTATGCACTGTGAGCCTGACACAGAAGCTGGCAGCAGTGGCAGACAACTAAGTGCAATTACATTACATAGAAAAAAAAATCAAAAAAAGCATACCCTAACCCTAACCTAGCTATGTTTTTCCCTATCTAATGAACAGCAGCTACACTTTCCCTCCTCTTACTAAGCATGCAGCTTGAGAATGAATCTAAAATGGATGCCTTCCAGGAGGTGGGAGGGTCTGCTAGGAGGGTGTGCTGCTAATTGGCTGGAATGTGTCTGCTGACTGTGAGGTACAGGGTCAAAGTTTACTCAATGATGACGAATAGGGGGCGGATCGAACCGCGCATATGTTCGCCCGCCGTGGCGAACGCGAACATGCTATGTTCGCCAGGAACCGTTCGCCAGCGAACCGTTCGGTACATCACTACTGGCAATTTATATTTTGAAAGAAAAATATGCATTATTGTTGTTCATTTTGTAGGAAGTATCAGCATTGAAAATTGTGATGTTTGATTACAGATGGTGCCCTCCTTTTGGTTTTGGTCTTACATTCGTAAATTCTAAATTTAACAAGGGGAATTGCAGTTTGGCTCCATCACTGTGAGATATTGCAATTTTGTAAAAAAAATAAAAAAAATAATAAATTTAAAAAAGGTTTTATTGGTTGAGCTGTTATATGTTGTTGGACGGGCCTGCTAGCTAACACAATAAATTGGCAAGTTGAGTATTGTGCAAGGCTTGACAAAGGCCATGGTGATGTTTTAACTTATGCCACTCTTCATAAAAGGATTGCATTGACGGAGAAGGTTTGCTGGATGTATATTATATATGTGCTTGAATATCTTTTCCTAGCAATAATTTGTGTTAAAGTTACACTTAAGCTTTTTTTGTTTGCTTATTTTTGATACTTTGTCTCAATCATGATGGCTACAATGTATTGACATTTTCCAAACTTTATATCTACCTGTCCATTCAGTAGGGCTTGATTGGGATAAGTAGCTTTCTAAATGATTTAACACTGCTATGATTTTTCTATCTTAAGAAGTCACTATTAAAAGCTATGGGCATTCTCGTAGATAAATGACTTGGAATCGTTATTCAAATTCCAGTTGAGTTTACGATGACGGAGCATCCTGATCTGTGATCTTAATGTATCCCATGTGATCCAGTTATCCCAACTCCTGCTCTGCTTTTAGTATTATCTGTTTTATCTCGCAAGCTCCAGATTCTATTAAAATATTGAAGTGTGTTACTTCCCATACAGTTATTTTATTGCATTTAGGAATATGCAGAGCATCGTATCTATACTATATTGTGTTTGTTTTCTTTTCTTTATTAGTTATTGCGTAATTCATGTTCACTGATTTTCCTATTATTCTTCAAAAAAGAAAAACTGAGGTAGGATTCACTTGTCCATTGTTGTTGGCTAGTATTGATTGTCAAGGCATATTATGTCTCACATGTATGTTCCACATTTACCTCAATTAAAATAAGAGATTGACAAAAAAGAAAAAGAAGTCTAGATCAGGAAGCACTCTGTTTAAAAGCTCTTCCAATTTTGTCTTTTTCTGGTATCGTCCATATACTTTGTAAAAACTGTTTGACAATAGGGTGGAGACAAAATGGACAACGTAGCAGGCATAATAAGTTATTTGCTTATGGTTATGAAGAGTGTTACTTAACACTTATTTTTACTGTTTATTTTTCTTACTAACAAAACAACAAATTTACTGTGCAAAGATTTGAGGGTCCTACATTTTGAACTTTTTCGAAAGGCCACTTCTCTAAAAGGCTGAAAAGGAACCACTGCCTCAGATTACTTATAGAGAAAAAAATATATATTACTAGCTAGCAGCCTGCATTCATAGAACTGGCCAGTAGATGGCCCAAAAGAGCCATGCACTATCTCCCAACACAACCCTGACATTTCCAACCATTGTACTCTGTGTACTGCGTGTAAAATGTTGCTTCTTTGGAAAAAGAATCAGCTGTCTCAGTTTTGGCAAAAGAGCAGAGCAGAAACGGTTGGTTCCTCCTACAAAGGTAATCCAGTGAACACGTTTATTGTGTGTTAGCCTTGCAAAGCAGGATCTGTTAATCAAAGGCTTACCACAGGTGCTGGAGCTGTTAAAAGTGCCTGCAGATTCAACCCCTGCACTTCATCTTCTCCAGGTTAAGAGGGATTCTATTAGGAGGTGGATTACAATCTGAACCTGGGCTGAGAAGGCTTTATTTTTGGCTACTACCTGTTCAGGAGTAAGACATGTAAATCATGTCCACCCTACTTTTTCCTTAGATTAGCCAAGGACCAGTAGATTCCAAGTTGGATCCTGGGAATTCACTGGCAAGAGGAGAGCTTTAAATTGCAACACTTTTGGTAAGTGCCAGGTAGGAAGAGGTTCTGCTTCCTGAATGCATGTTTAGAACAGTCATATCTGTTACTATTTGCAGCTTTTTTCTTTGATTTTTCTTTATATTGAAAAGCTGGCTTATTTGTTTAGAATAAAGCAGCTGAACATCATGAAGACATCTAATTGTGTCCAGTTTCAGATGACCTTATACCTGTATTGGTAGAATACTGTTTTTAGTATTCAAAGCACATGAAGTATATGGTGTGTGAATAAGCTAGAAGTACATGTGTTTTATAGATGATGTGCCATTTCTGTAGACAGAGTGCTTAAGCCTTTTGCTATGGATTTGTTTAAAGATTTCATTATGTGTGGTTTGTTTTTGGTTTTTAATTGAAATTGATCATTTGAGTTTAAGTAGGCTCGCAAGCCTATATAGAGGTGAGCTGGAAAGTCGGTTTACAAAATCTAGGCCCCGATGACAAAACTGAGAAAGAAAAAGAAACTTGGCATATTGCCCAAATATTGAAAATACCATGATTATTATTTTAAAATATAGTTATTGTATGATCCAGCTTGGCCGATTCAGAAAAGTTGTATATGGATATTCTATCCAAAAATCTTGCTGCCAGGAAGTGACACTATAGACATTGTAACAAGTAAGGACGGTTCATTTGTGTCTTTGCCATAACCTTGTTACATAATCATAGTAGATCCAAGTATTTTAAAGAAAAATAAATGATCAACAGATATATGAATACAAAGTTAAGATAGGCATTATTTGTTACATGTTTATTGACTAAACTGTAAATTGTTAAACATTAAAAACTTTAAAATTTTAAATCAAAATAGCTAAACTGGAAAAAAAAATCCAAATTAGTTTTTTTTCCGTCCTTATCTGTTTTTGCCTAAAATGTGAAATTCTTCGTTTGGCATGCAACTGAATAATTATTAATATTATATATTTTTTGTGATATCTCACAAAACATTTTCCTACAAGGAGTGCCCCTTACATTTATTAAATTAAATTAAAGTAAGATACATCAACGCCAGAATTTGCCTTAAGAAGGCTTCATATGACACATGTCCCTATGGGCCACAGTGGTCATGGGGCGAGGGTCAACTGATTGAATCAGGTGATCTCCAAATGTAATTGGCTCTGTGACTCGCAAAAATTGACTGCATCCTGTTCCCTGTTGCTTCTTATTGTCTGCACTGTGAAGGGGTTATAGAGAGCCGTATAGCTTCCTCTACGGGCCTCTAATAATTCTGCACCAGAACTGAGGTAGCCGAGACTAATGATGAAAGCCTACCTCACGTGTACATTTTTGCTTGACAAATTAACAACATGAACACAGATGAAAAGCGATTTCCTAGTTTATTTTTGGACCACCATTTTTAAAGGACTTCAAATAGGGAGTCCACTATCTGCATGCATGTACATCCATCCAGAACTTGCACACATACAGCCACATTCTATGAATTTTGGAATACCTCAATCATAACATATGGTGAGTTGGATGCCATGTTGGATGTGGAAGAAGCCATCTTTACTACATAGACTCATGTTGTTAACTTTTCTGTTATATTAGCTAGCTTAAATCTTTTCCTATCTAAAGGCTCATGTGCTTTGTGGATGACTGGTTCACTTTAAAGAGTACTAGTCATGGCAAAGAAGAAGTTAATCTAATTTTTCATTTTTTTCCTCTACTTCCCTTTGCTTTTACTGCAATGCCATCAGCATAGTGGTAAAGACTAATTCGGTGGAGATCATCCATTCCAGGAAGCCATGTTACAAGAGAAGGAATCAATCTTCAGGGTTGACAGTGCATTTGGAATTGAGTTTGAATTCAAAGAGCTCAATGCTTAAAGGGTTACTCCAACCATCATGACCACTTCTGCTTCGGGATGCAGCAACTTAGCTATTCGCAGTTTAATTGATATGCTTTCCTAAAGTAGTGAGTTCTCTATGGTATTTTGAAGGAATGGATACTGGGTGAACTTCTAGCAGAGAAGGGAAGGGAGTTCCACAGGAATGATGCAAGCAAGCATCCAAGGTGGGAGTATGAACAAAGAAAAGATGTAGGTCTTCGGTAAGCGTAGGGGCCAACACAGGATATGCTTGTGTATTAGGTAGGAGCAGCATTTTTGTAGAGATTTGTAAGCAAGAACCAGAGTTTTAAATTGAGTTCTGTATCTTACAGGAAGCAAATGTACAGAAGAAAGAGAGGGGGAGGCATGGGAGGTGCGGGCAGACAGAAAGATGAGCCTCTCCACTGCAATCATTAAAGACTGTAACAGGGCAAGTTGGGAGCACGTAAGATCACTGAAAAGTGTCTGGAACTCTGTTTCTGATTGCCTCATGTCAATTCTGTGCAAAAGTAGCATCTGTCATTAGCACACTGGTGATAGACATACATAGCTTCTATCCTTGCAGGCAGTGCTTGGAACTGCAAGGTGAAGCTTTTATCTCCCCTCCCTTCTAAGCTAAAGCTTTCTCTGCCTTTATATACACTCTGTTTTTGAATATTCCCTCCTTTCCTCTCCCTATCAGCATGCACTCTGAGCTGGTGAAACTGTCCGATCAAATGTAAGAAGCATTTGATTGAACCTCAAGACAGCTGTAGTGACATCAGACAGGGAGTGGATAACAGCAATGGGAGTTTTGGCTAGAGCTAGATGTCAGGTAAGTTAGATGTTTTGTTTTGTTTTTCTTTGGGGGGGATTGTGACTTTAAGAAATAAAATCAATGGCAAAAAGGGTTGGAGTAACCCTTTTCATCTAAGCATAGCTCCGACAAAATTAAAATGATAATGTCTATAGATATACAGCTTAGGTATACTTGTCCTCACTATTATTTCTCTGCGGTATTAATACCCACAAATTATAGAAGAAACTCAGAATTTACTTTAATGAGTGGTTAGTTTAATAAGTCATGTGTCTAATTTTATAAGAAGAAATGTAAGACCCTATAATTATAACACACAGACTGTGGGAAAAGGCTGATGTTGTAACACATAGGGTTGAAGTTTTCATTGCAATAGATTCAATATAAATATACACAAAAAAAATTAAACAAGTAATTGTTATATTGATAAAATATAATCTACTTATAAGGCACCCAATACGCTATGCAGGCCCTAAACACCAACTTCATAACAATACTTCCGTTGATCCAATTTTATGGCAAGAGCCACCATTGGATTTATATATGGATTTATGCTTCTGCATCAGTGAGGGTGGTGGAAGATGAGGAAGCTGGGTCAAGTGGTTGGACACCATAAACAAAACTTTGGCGTTAAATAGTTAAAAAAACTATTTAATCCCACACTGAAAGAGGGGGCACAGAACCCATAATGACTTAATCTGATCTTGATAAAGACCTGAATAGGTTGAAACGTTGATCTGTTGAACTGAATTTATGGACACAGTAAACTGAACACTTTTTCAAATCCTGGAGCGCGCCTAATTATTCGTAATTCTAATAAATAAATATATATACACATATATATATATATATATATATATATATATATACACACACACAGACACACACACAGATGTATATTTTCTATTGCTCCTAAAAATAGATTGGCTCCTAGATAAAGCCTGTGTTCTATTCTAGTACAAAAGGTAAATTGGTGGGATTCCGTGTCAAAACATTATAGAACACTGCAATGCCAGTATCTATTGTACATAGTATGACAATGTGTAATGGAATCCTGTTGTTATTGAAAATTGTGTATTTACTTCTAATCTGCTCAGAAGATTACCTTAACATTTTTATGCATCTTTATTGTTGAACATGTATAATACATTTTGATGCCGTTTTTCATATATAAAAATTGTTAGTAAATTTTTTTTTTTTTAAGTTACAGTTTTGGATCTAAAACACTAAGCTAAACAATTTAATAAAATATATACTACTTAACAGACCTACACAGTCCTAATAGGGCTATAAAAGGCCATTCCTTAGCAGCCAGAGTCCCTTGCATGGTCTAGCTCTTAGCATCATTCCTTGTAGCAGTGATTTCCTGATTATTTTCTTGTTGTGACTTTTGTTGTTGTGGCAGCTTCTAAATATCCTTAATTTATGTCAAAATGTTTTTGAGAGTTTTGACAAAAACTTGGTTTTCTTGGAACCAAATCTTTGCCATCTGCTACGGCTTGGATAATGCAAGCGTAAGTGGGAAAATTAACGTGTGGTCAATTTTTTTGTTTTGTTAAGAACTTTCATCACCATAGTAATGTTACCTTAAGACTCGTACAGTTGTAATCAAAATTATTCAACCCCCATTGAAAATCAGGGTTATTGTCAAAGTTTACAAACTTTTAGCTGTTATCAAAGAACAAATTAAACAAAAGTAACTTCAACTGAAAATTCAACTTATAATGACCTCTTCAGTCTCAATATTATTCAAACCCTTGAATAGATCCCTCACAATAGCACAAATAAACAAATCAGGTGTTGTCTCCAGCACATATGATGCAAGTAATCAAGGACTTCATTAGTTGCACTAGATGTGCTTTAGCTGACCCTCTTGAAATACCTGAACTGGTTACAGGTTTTAGTGTCACGTTTGACTTCTTGTTAGACATATGGCTAAGCCAAAAGAATGGTCCACAAAGTTAAGAGAATAGATCATCACCCTTTACAAACAAGGAACAGGATACAAAAAGATAGATAAGGCACTGAATCTTCCTAGAGACACTGTTGGAAGCATAGTTTGCAAGTTCAAAGTTGAAGGAACAGTGGCTACACTACCTGGTCATGGCAGAAAAAAAGATGGCTGCAACAAGATTTCTGAAAAGGTAGGTTGTGAAAAACACTCGAGTGATTGCAAGGTTTCAGTGAGCACAGTAAGGTGCATACTAAAAGCAGAAGGTTTCCATGCCATAACTCCAACACTTACACCTCTACTGACCCAAAAGCACAATAAAACTCATCTCCAGTATGCTCAAAATCAGATAAATAAGCCACAGATGTTTCGTGATCCTGTACTGTGGAGCGATGAAACAAAACTGGAAATATCCACAAGTAGCTCAGTGATGCTCAGTAATGCTTTGCATCCTCTGGCACTGGAAACATGCAACGTGTGAAAGGCAAGATGGATTCATTAAAGTATCTGAAAATCCTAGGAGAAAACTTCATGCCGTCTGTGAGGAAGTTGAAGCATGGGTGTCACTGGACTTTCCAACAAGACAATGATACTAAGCATACACCTCAAATCGCAACAAGGCTTGGTTGCAGAAGAAGTCCTGGAAAATTCTATCAGGTGACTTGAACTACATAGAAATCTCTGGTGGATTTGAAGAAGGTGGTTGCAGCACGCAAACCCAAGAATATTACTGAACTGGAGGTCAGTGCTCATGAGCAATGGGTTAAGATTCCTCAAGAACACTGCTGTAAGCTGGTGTCTAGCTATGCATCTCATTTGCAGAAGGTCACAACCGCAAAAAGGGGTGCTCTACTGTGTACTAAAGATGCTTGCCAAAAAGGGGTTGAATAATTTTAAGACTGGATAAGTCTTTATAAGTTTCTATTTCAGTTGAATTTGAGGAAACCATTTGAGGTATTCCCTGTATTATTAATATTATTATTATGATATTTATAGAGCACCATCAAATTCCGCAGTGCTTTACAATGGGTGGATGAACAGACATGTAGTTGTAACCAGACAAGTTGGACACACAGGAACAGAGGGGTTGAGGGCCCTGCTTACATGCTAGAGGGAGTGGGGTAAAATGACACAAAAAGGTAAGGATAGTATTAGACTAGTGACAGTTGCAGAAGAGGAATCAGTCAGGAGCTATTAACAGTTTAATTGATACGCTTTTATGAAGAAGTGGGTTTTTAATAATTTTTTTAAGGAGTGGAGACTGGGTGAGCACCTAACGGAGGAAAGCAAGTTCCACAGGAATGGTGCAGCCCTCGAGAAATCTTGAAGGCAAGCATCAGAGGTGGGAGTACGGACAGAAGATAGACGTAAGTCTTCAGCAGATCTTAAGGGCCTAGACGGGACATACTTGTGTATAAGGGAGGATAGATAGGTGGGAGCAGTATTATGTAGAGATTTGAAAGCAAGAACCAGAATTTTAAATTGAGCTCTATATTTTATAGGAAGCCAATGTAGGGACTGATAGAAGGGTGAGGCATGGGAGGTACGGGCAGACAGGAAGATGAGCCTCGCTGCCGCATTCATTATGGACTGTAACGGCGCAAGTTGGGAGCACATAAGACCACTGAGAAGAGGATTACAGAAGTCAAGGCGAGAAAGGACAGTGGAATGGGCCAACACCTTAGTCGCATCTGGCTTTAAGTAGTCGCAATGTTTTTGAGATGGAATGACAGGATTTGGTGATAGATTGAACATGAGGCTTGAAGGAGAGGTCAGAGTCAAAGAGAACACCTAGGCAGCGAGCCTGCGTGGTGGAGCTGATGGTAGCACCGTTGACTTGGAGGGAGACAGACACAGGAGTAACAACACTTGAGGGAGGAAAGAGCAGAATTTCAGTTTTGGTCAAGTTTAGTTTAAGGAAGTGGGCAGCCATCCAGTTAGAAACAGCAGAGAGGCAATCAGAGACACTAGTCAATAGGGACGGGGAGAGATCAGGAGAGGACAGGTAGATTTGCGTGTCATCTGCATAGAAATGATTTTAGAAGCCAGAGAAGCTAATGAGTTTTCCAAGGGAGGCAGTATAGATAGAGAACAGTAGGGGACCAAGGACTGAACCTTGGGGGACACCAACAGAGAGGAGTTGGGGAGAAGAATCAGAATCAGAGAAAGAAACACTGTAAGAGCGCTGGGAGAGGTAGGAGAAGCACCAGGAGAGAGCAATATCTTGTAGACCGATATTGCGGAGGATGAGAAGAAGCTGTTGATGATCAACAGTGTCAAAAGCCGCAGACAGGTCAAGGAGAATTAGGATAGAGTAGTGACCACGAGATTTTGCAGCGAGTAGATCATTGGATACTTTGGTCAGTGCCGTTTCCATAGAGTGCTTAGCGCAGAAACCAGACCGAAGCGGGTCTAGCAGAGAGTTGGACTCGAGGAAGTCTGTCAATCTCGCATACACAAATTTCAAGGATTTTGGATGCAAAAGGCAGTAGCGAGATAGGACGATAGTTGGATGGGGAGTTAGGGTCAAGATTGGGCTTCTTTAGAATTGGGGTTACAGTTGCATGTTTGAAGGGCAATGGAAATATACCAGAGGAGAGAGAGAGAGAGATTGAGAATTTTTTAGTGAGAGGTGGAAAAAGAGAAGAAGACAGAATACGGATGAGATGCGAGGGAATTGGATCTAGGGAGCAGGTGGTGGGGTGGGAGGACTGGAGCAGAGCAGAAACCTCTTCCAATGTAGAGGGTGCGAATAAACATAGAACAGACGAGGGAGTGAAGTTAGGGGAAATATTGTAAGGGGAAAAAGAAAGATGAGAGATCTCTTCTCTGATGGTAGATATCTTGTCAGTGAAGTGAGTTGCAAAGTCTGAGGCGGTCAAGTTAGTAGGTGGAGGAGGAACAGTAGGGCGAAGAAGAGAGTTAAATGTGTGAAATAGTCGTTTGGGTTCGCGGGAGAGTGTGGTTATGAGGGTATTGAAGTAATTAACTTTTGCATGTTGAGCTATTTCACTTGCTTTTGTTTGATTTGTTCATTACAGACAGCTGAAAGTCTATAAATGTTGATAATAAACCTGATTTTTAATTGGGGGTTGAATATTTTTAATTACAACTGTACATTTAATGCTCTCTCCAGAAGCACTTGAAAAATTCTTTAGTATTCATACTTTTCATGTGGGGATGGATGGATGGATGGAATGGATATAATTGAATTAAAACAACATGCAGGATCAAGGATAGCCCTTCTGTGAATCATTTATTTTCCTTTGGTAGCTTGGGAATGTGCCACCAGAAAGCACTGTGAAATTATTAGTATCTGGTAGAAATCCACCAATCATGATCACTCATGTGACATCGGTACATTCAGGGATCCGAATAGTAAATAGCAAACATACTTGCCATACCTTTGCCTCAGCAATACATGACTCCTTAAATAGATTTCAGATGGCTTTTCTGGTGCTGTACTTTACAGAATATGTCTTGGACAGCACTGTGTGTTGTATTTTGCAATGTCTGGAAGTAATCAAACAGAATGAAAGAACAAAAAAAAGGGGACACAGAATCTGAAAAATCATGTTCCTCTGCCAGACACCAGCTATTAAACCCTTACCTTAGCAAACTTTAATACAATACATTATTTAATATTTAGGAACTATTTTGACTAATATATGAGCTATGTTTTGGCAAAAAATCTGGAATTTCTGCCAACTTCAACCTGATGCACCTTGCCAATTCCCAATAGCTGTCTAAATATAGTATATCAATACTAAAGTGTGAGGATCTGTACAGTATTCATCTGTCTTAAAAGATCTTCCCTAGAACCCCATTGTGTACTTTAATGCATGCTCAAAAGCAGCGGTATATTTACCGCGAGGCTGACAAGCAGTGGCGTACACACAACCCATGGGGCCCCCGTGCGAAACTGATCCATGGGGCCCCCTTCCCTCTAATTCTCCCTCCCCCCCCCGACAGACACACACACACACACACACACACACACATACATACAGAGACACACACATACATACAAAGACATACATACAAACAGACAGACAGACGCACACATACATACAAAGACACATACACACAGGCAGGCACACATACATACAAACAGACACATACATACATTCAAACAAACCCACACACCCTCCTGTTTACTACCTTTTAAGTGCAGGAGGGTGACTTTCCCTGGGGTCCAGTGGTGGCTCAGGTTGATGGTAGTCAGAGTTCCCACTCTGACTCCCTCTGCTTCCTCACGCGCTGGCTCTTAGTGATAGCTGGGAGGAGTGACGTGGAGTCCCTTCCTCCCAGCGTGTGATGATCTCATCACAGGGGGCCGATCGCGCTGTTCAAGCAGCTAGTGAGAGTGTGCGTGTCTTTTAGTGAGAGTGTGTGTGTGTGTGTGTCGGTGAGTGTATTTATTTGACTGTGTCTGTTAGTGAGGTGTGTGTGTCTGTTAGTGAGTGTGTATGTCTGTCAGTGTGTATATGCGTGTCTGTCAGTGAGTGTGTATGTCTGTTTGTCAGTGTGTATCTGTCAATGAATGCATGTGTCAGTTAGTGTGTCTGTCGGTGGATGTCTGTGGGTGAATGTGAGTGTGCATGTCTGTCTGTCTGTCAGTGAGTGTGTATATTTCAGTGAATGCGTGTTGGTTAAACAATGTGTGTGACAATGATTGTGTATCTGCCAGTGAGTGTATGCCAGTGTATGCATCAGTAAAGGTGTGTGTCTGTCAGGCAAAGAGCATGTTGGTTTTTAATAGGAAGTAAAATTTAGAAGGAGAGGGTGCCTGAATTTTGTCATGCCTAGGGCAGCACAAAACCAGAATACACCACTGCTCAAGAGTACACCAGTAACATGACTCTTGCAGGCTGTATCTACCAGGAGCTGGAAATGGAGCTGAACTATAAAATGTCACCTCTGGTGGCTGGCTTCACATAGGTATATTTACCTTTGTGATCTCCCTATTGGGTCCCATCATGCAAGTGACCATGTCACCTTGCAGAAATGCAAAGACACCGCAAGTGACAGTGTCCCATTATTTTCCAATTCACTCTCACAGAGATCTGGATCTGTTGCCTCCTATTCTATAAGTCCAAAACAGGCCACTTTATTTTGGAATGTGGGATTACCGAGTCTAAGTGCTAGCCTTTGTTTTTGTTAAATTTTTAAAAGCCATGACTAATATATATATATATATATTAATGATAATGGAAGATCATTTTAGAACTGATAATCAGAAAGTAGTTGGTCTTTAGTATTAATAGTGCTTTTGTGTTATGGACAGGAATGAGAAAACTAATGAATCTGATGACTACTGTAGAAAAGATAACAGAAGCAGTGTGTGCCTTTCACACCTATAACGTTACTCCTTTCCATCTTAGTGATATCTGTAATCATGTTAATTTTAATTATGCAAATTTACTTTAGTCAATTAAACCCTATTTAATTTTTTCTTCGCTCCAGCACTGTTTTAAACCATGTAAATAAACAAAAAGGTTTTCTGAACTGGCTCCAGTCTATGCAATGTTACTATAAATGGCAACCCTCAACCATGTTTTTCAAAGAGGGAGGAGGTGGAGGGGAGGTTGTTGGGCAAGTACTATGGCTTTTTTGCACACATAACTCAAGTATCTCTGTGATGATGCCCCTGCTCACACTGGAAAAACATTATATATCAGTTTTACAGCCAGAAGCTGCTGGAGTAGCACCAAGAGACATTATAGAGCAAGTGATCAACTGCTTCATGTAACTCCATGATTCCAACGTCTCATCTCACCTCATAGCATCCTACAAATACCTCCACATAAATATATGCAGTCTTCCATGATATATCCCAGTGTCAGAAAATTCCTGGAGAACATTAAGATTGAAGGCCATGAACCCTGGCACACATCACATGGTGCTGGGTTAACAAATGCATTTCTGATTTCCTGCTTGATCGTTCACTCCTGCCGTACTTTAACAGGCATCCCAAGGGGTCCCCAATTACTTTAAATCAGGAGAGGAATGGTAACAATTTCCAGTTCTCCCATGTTCTTAAAGTGCATACGTTTAACTTTATTATTGCATTCTCACACATCCAACATTTCAAATGATCCAAGATGGACACTAAGTGTAGAGGTGTGGGTGGGGTGGGTGGCAAGAGGCAGGGCTATTCTGAGACATTTTAGGTGTCTTGCTTATGATTTTTGCAGCTAAAATATAATTTCGCACAAGGATTATGCATCTTATTTACTCATACTGAAATCTTATTGTAGTTTAAAGATACATTACTGAGGATATTATTGCTGTGGATCTCTGTTAAATACTCAAATGCCAACTATATGGTCATTAAGGACATAAAATATGAGTCCAAAATAGGGACTGTATCTCCTAAATAGGAACACTTGGGAGGGATGCATTCCAAAGAGTATGGAAAATGGATGGCTCTGAGGACATAGAGCGCACTGCAGAAATTCTGTGAAGGTGGGGGTAGATGTTATGTATCTTACAAATACTGATAAGCATATTAATTTAAATTGTATCAATTTTGACATACCTACTTACTGTATGTGGCCAACATTGTATTTATGCTTCATTATTACTATTTTATACCGTATCTGATATATTGCCAGAAAGGGATTGCCATAAAATCTCCATCAAATTACATCCTTGTGATAGATCATAGGATGAACAAAGAAATAAAAAACAAATAACAATTATGCAAATGTACATACTTTTTTAAATCCTATGTGTATGTGTTAGTGGTCTGTTTATGTTTGTGTTCAAATAACTATCATGCTATTTTTAAGAAAAAAAATTTTGGAAAAAGAAATTGCACCAAAAATATGTAATTGGGAAGCCGCACTGCGAACATGACCATTTTATTTAATGTGCTCTTCAAATGAACCAAATACACCTGGTGTATATCCTCATTATAAGAGCTATGTATCTCTTAAGACAGCAGAAATAACACCTTTCAGATGAAATATCCATTATATTTTATGGGGTGCATGAGATTTTGCTCTGGATACAGCATTAAGCCACCCCTGTTACATTATGTTATTGATTTTTTATTTTTTTTATTTTAAATGTTTAATTTTTGGTTTAAAATTGATAAATATGTCTAATGCTAGAGTATCTTTGATATTATTAGGGCCTTTTTAATTGAAAAACGTAGAAACATTTTATAAAACATATCTTTCTTCTGAGCACTGAGACAGACTCCCACTCAGACGACATCATCCGTTATAATGACTTCTGTTAGAGAAACATTGGAAGTATAGAATGTGACAATCCTGAACATGAAGACCTTTGATTTTCTAAGATATATAATGAGTAATCTTGTTGCATGTTCTATGACGGAGTGCACATTGCCATTATTTGGGAATGACAATTTTTCACATTGTCAGATAAATAGAGACACCATCTGTGCACAAAACCACGTAATTAAGATAAAGTGCTATTGGTGCTTAGAGTCTTTTTAGTAATATGTAATGACGTTCAAAGTAACAAGTAATTTAATTAATGCAGGTTCTCGATGGAGTGAAAAAATTATGTCTCAGATTTGATTGATAACTTGGACACAACAAAAGCAGCTATAATCCACACCAGCATTTTTAAAAAGGTTAAAGGAACACGCTGGTGCATAACTTCAGAAATGAGTTGTTATGGTGCCAGGAGGTCCTTGGATGCCGCTTACCTTCACGGGATAAACTGTTAACGTATTGTTTAATCCTAAAGTTTTCTGTCCTGCGTCTGTCAGCTATGCCCTCTCAACATCATTTTGAGTCCAAGGCTTGAGGAAAAATATGTTAATTAATAAAGCCATTTTGTTAATGGTAAGCTGATCATTGGTACATAATTTGAAGCTTTCCGTTTCAAGTCTCAGCCTCAAACAGATGTGGAGGGGAAAAGTCAAAAAGATGAAATTGGGGTTAAACCAATCCTACAAGGGATCTCTTGACACCATAACAACTTCATTCCAATTAAGCTGTTATCGTGCCCATAGTTTTTCTTTAATATCTAATGGCTAACAAGCCCATGTGCCAAAGAGCTCTTCTGGCCTGCCTGCCAGCAGCCTACTCCTTGCAATTATCATTCACTCCACTTTTAAACATGCACTGATACCATTGTATAATAAGGTTGGAAATGATAGAGTTCGTAATTGACAGATTCAAACAAAGGAAATCGCCAGGTCACGGCGGCTTTACTAATGCATGTTAAACTCTTTAAGAAAAACATCCTCTCATATTTGACAGCTATTTTTAATGAGATTGCTCGGAAGATCAGAGCTTCGGAAGACCTAATAAGAGCACATATTCTACCAATCTTAAAACAAGACAAACCACCTACTGATTTAGCAAACTAACACCCAATATCAGTCAATGTTGAAATTAAATTGTATGCTTCCATCTTAGCGGAACTAGTTAAAAAGGTCCTGCCTTCAGTTATAGACTCTGATAAGATAGGATTTCTTTTAGGACGAAAGTCATGTAATAACACATGGAGAATGGTTGATATTATGGATTGGGCACAGCATGAGGAGCTCCCGTTCTGACCTTGTCGGTGGATGCAGAAAAGGCCTTCTACAGGTGTGGATATTTGAGGAAAGTTATGGCCCATTTTGGTTTTGAGGGCTGGATTGTGGACACGATAGGGACTTTGTATTCAATACCCTCAGCTCAGTTAGTGGGACAGGATTTCTGCTCCTATTGGTTCCGTATATTGAATGGTACCAGACAGGCTGGCTACTTTCTCCTTTATCTTATATTATGACTATTGCACCTCCTGCGATCAACATAAGAAATAACCCTCTGCTTAAGGGTATAACCCTAGTAAATAGAGAAGCGAAGATCTGTCTCTATGCAGATGATATTTTAATATCGGTCATAGAGCCTATGGTCTCGATACCTAATCTTATCTGGAAATTCAGCAGATACAGTACTATATCAAACTATAAATTAAACATGAACAAAACCACTTTACTTACTAAATATAACAAAAACAGTCTTCAGAGGTTGGAAAGGGACTATGGTTTTAATAAGACCTCTAAGGAAATTCAGTATCTGGGCATAGAATTCACTTCTGACCCAGACAAGCAACGGAGACTAACTTCTTAAAGCTTTTTAAGGCCTCTAACAGATTATTAAGGAGCGGTGACATGTGGGGATATCCTGGTGGGGAAGGATAAATACTTTTCAAGCTTATATTTTACCCAAATGGGCATATTTATTTCGGATACTTCCCCTATCTATCTCAAAACACTGGCTAAATATAATACAAACTTGTTTTGCAAACTACATATAGAGAGGTAAAAGAGCCTGAATTAACCTTAAAATATTAGCCAGAAAAGGATATCAGGGAGGAGATGGCTATCCTTTAATCAGAGACACATTTCAGGCAAACATGATGGCACATATCTATAAATTACAATTAACCAAGTCAACTGATTAATCATGGTATAGATTAAAATCAAAAAAGGGTTGGAATTGAAACTCTTGCATTGTTGTTATAGAGTAATACAGGAAATAGTACATTTATTCTGTCCGAAGAAAATTCCCTAGTTCTGTTTCAGACATTAAAAGAATGGCAGACCCTGAAGAAAGAACTGAGAATTACAAACAAAATCTATGATGGCACCAATATCAAGATATTAGAGTTAACTATATTGATCTCAAAAACTGAAATAGACAGAGTGATTATTTAATAAGAGACCTATATAATAATATTAATTTATTGCACTTTGAGGAACTTAGGCAAAACTTGAATCTTCCCCACCTGGAGTTCAACTTTTTTGCATTCAGAGACTCCTAAAAGTGTTTGCTGCGTCTAGACCATGGGTAGTCAACCTGGTCCCTACCACCCACTAGTGGGCGGTTTGGGATTTCAGGTGGGCGGTGGTGGGTTCTGTAGAAAACAACCGGTGGGCCTAGTTGGCAGTGGACCAAGGCCAGCAGGGGTGATCCTTTCATCTCCTCTGCTGGCCCATGCAGAGCCTCTTGGGCTGGTTACATAGTTACATAGCTGAAAAGAGACTTGCGTCCATCAAGTTCAGCCTTCCTCACATTTGTTTTTTTGCTGTTAATCCAAAAGAAGGCAAAAAAAAAACAGTTTGAAGCACAATTTTGCAACAAGCTAGGAAAAAATTTCCTTCTTGACCCCAGAATGGCAGTCAGATTTATCCTTGGATCAAGCAGTTATTACCCTACATTGAAAGATTATATCATTGAATATTCTGTTTTTGCAAGTATGCATCTAGTAGCTGTTTGAACATCTGTATGGACTCTGATAAAACCACTTCTTCAGGCAGAGAATTCCACATCCTGATTGTTCTTACAGTAAAAAAACCTTTCCTTTGCTTTAGATGAAATCTTCTTTCTTCCAGTTTAAACACATGGCCTCGTGTCCTATGTAAAGTCCGGTTTGTGAATAGATTTCCACACAATGGTTTGTATTGGCCCCGAATATATTTGTATAATGTTATCATATCCCCTATCCCCTCTCAGGCGACGTTTTTCTAAACTAAATAGGTTTAAATTTGTTAACCTTTCTTCAAAGCTGATATGTTCCATTCCTTTTATTAATTTTGTAGCCCGCCTCTGCACTTTTTCTAGTGCCATAATATCCTTCTTTAGAACAGGTGCCCAAAATTGCAAAGCATATTCAATATGGGGTCTTACCAGTGATTTATAAAGAGGCAAAATTATATTCTCGTACCGAGAACGAATGCCCTTTTTCATGCATGACAATACCTTACTGGCCTTGGCCACTGCTGATTGACATTGCACATTGTTGCATAGTTTGTTGTCTATAACAATTCCCAAGTACTTTTCGTGTGTTATTATCCCTAATTCGCTTCCATTAAGGGTATACGTTGCTTGTGTATTCTTTACGCCGAAGTGCATAACTTTGCATTTTTCAACATTACATTTCATCTGCCATCTGAGTGCCCAGTCCCCCAGTCTATCTAAATCCCTCTGCAGCAAAGTAATATCTTGCTCACATTGTATTATTTTACAAAGTTTTGTCTCATCTGCAAACACTGAAACATGACTTTCAATGCGGTCTTCAAGATCATTTATAAACATGTTAAATAGAAGGGGTCCCAGAACAGACCTCTGAGGGACACCACTTGCCACCTCTGTCCAGCTTGAAAATTTACCATTAATGACAACTCTTTGTACTCTGTTTTTAAGCCAATGTTCTACCCAAGAACAAGCATTTTCATCTAGACCGATTTCCTTGAATTTGAACACTAATCTATTGTGTGGAACTGTATCAAATGCCTTGGCAAAATCCAAATAGATCACATCCACTGCAACACCCTGATCTATACTTCTACTTACTTCTTCGAAGAACGCAATCAAGTTAGTTTGACATGACCTGTGCTTCATAAAACCGTGCTGATTTTTGCTGATAACCATGTTCTTCTCAAGGAATTCTTGAATATTATCCCTTAATAACCTTTCAAATATTTTACCAGCCACAGAAGTTAAGCTCACAGGTCTATAATTTCCAGGCAAGGATTTTGAACCCTTTTTGAATATAGGAACCACATCTGCCTTCCTCCAATCCTCCGGAACACTTCCTGAAAGAAAAGAATCTTGAAAGATTAAAAACAGAGGTTCACTTATTTCTACACTTAGTTCCTTAAGTACACGTGGATGGATACCGTCAGGCCCTGGAGCTTTGTTTATATTAACTTTCTTTAGTTGCTGCAGCACCTTGTCTTGAGTTAACCAATTACAATTATTTTGCAAGTTTTTAGTAGCAATCATTTGCACATCTATTGCCATGGGTTCTTCCTTAATATATACGGAGGAGAAATAGTTATTTAAAATTCCTGCCTTTTCCTGGTCTTCATTAACTAACACCCCCGTTTCAGTTTTTAGTGTACCTACACTTTCATTTTTTTTTTTTTTTAGAATTTATGTACCGTATATACTCGAGTATAAGACGACCCGAATATAAGCCGAGGCCCCTAATTTTACCCCAAAAAACTGGGAAAACGTATTGACTCGAGTATAAGACTAGGGTGGGAAATGCAGCAGCTACTGGTAAATTTCTAAATAAAATTAGATCCTAAAAAAATTATATTAATTGAATATTTATTTACAGTGTGTGTATATGATGAATGCAGTGTGTGTATGAGTGCGCAGTGTGTGTGTATGAGTGCAGTGTGTGTATATATTGCAGTGTGTGTGTATATAATGCAGTGTGTGTATGAGTGCAGTGTGTGTATGAGTGCGCAGTGTGTGTTTGAGTGCAGTGTGTGTGTATGAATGCAGTGTGTGTGTATATAATGCAGTGTGTGTGAGTGCAGTGTGTGTGAGTGCAGTGTGTGTATATATTGCAGTGTGTATATAATGCAGTGTGTGTATGAGTGCAGTGTGTGTATGAATGCAGTGTGTGTGAGTGCAGTGTGTGCATAAATGCAGTGTGTGTGTATGAATCCAGTGTGTATGAATGCAGTGTGTATGAGTGCAGTGTGTATGAGTGCAGTGTGTATGAGTGCAGTGTGTGTATGAGTGCAGTGTGTGTGTATATGAATGCAGTGTGTGTGTGAGTGCAGTGTGTGTGAGTGCAGTGTGTGTTTGTGTTGCAGAGCCTTGGTGGGGGGGTGGGCATTTTTATAAAAAAAAAAAATTATTATTTTAATTTTTTTTGTTATATTATTATTTTTTTATTATTATTTATATTATTTTTAATATTATTTTTATTATTATTTATATATTAATTAATTTATTTTGTTGTCCCCCCTCCCTGCTTGATACATGGCAGGGAGGGGGGCTCTCCCTTCCTGGCAGTTCAGTGGGGGGAGGAAGGGGGCTGGCAGAGCTGTTACTTACCTCTCCTGCAGCTCCTGTCAGCTCTCTCCTCCTCCGCGCCGGTCCGTGCAGCTCCTCTCTCAGCTCACAGTGTAAGTCTCGCGAGAGCCGCACTATGACCCCGAGGCTCTCGCGAGACTTACACTGGGAGCTGATCGAGGTGCTGACCGGACCGGCGCGGAGGAGGAGGAAGCTGACAGGAGCTGCAGGAGAGGTAAGTAACAGCTCTGCCAGCCCCCAGTCTGTATTATGGCAATGTAAGTTGCCATAATACAGACACTGACTCGAGTATAAGCCGAGTTGGAGTTTTTCAGCACAAAAAATGTGCTGAAAAACTCGGCTTATACTCGAGTATATACGGTACTTAAAAAAAGCTTTGGGGTTGGTTTTGCTCTCTTTAGCTATCATTTTTTCATTTTGAAGTTTAGCAAGTCTAATTGCCTTTTTACACGCATTATTTGCTTCCTTATATCTTTTATAAGATGCATCCGATTTGTCTGATTTAAATGCTTTAAATGCCCTTTTCTTATTTTTAATCTCTTGTTTTACTTCTCTATTAAACCACATTGGTTTTAATTTGTTTCTTTTATATTTATTTCCCAATGGTACATACTGAGAAATGGACCTTTCTAATATTTGTTGGAAGATGATCCATTTATCCTCAGTGTTCTTTTCACTAAAGAGTTTATGCCAGTCAATATATTGTAAAGCTTCCCTTAACTTATGGAAATTGGCCTTTTTAAAATTATGTTTTAGTATAACCCAAGTGCTTTTGTTTTTTTGAGTTTATTTCAAAGGACCTTATATTGTGATCACTATTTCCCAAGTGCTCACCTACTTGAATGTTGGTCAAAAGATCAACGTTGTTTGTTAAAACCAGGTCCAGACAAGCGTCCATTCTAGTTGGTACTTGTACAAGTTGTGACATGAAGGTGTTATTTAACAAGTTTAAAAACCTAATTCCCTTTGCTGAACTACTAGTCCCTCTATCCCAATTTATGACCGAGTAATTAATTAAAATCTCCAATAATGAAAGTGTTACCTAGATTTGCAGCTTTCTCAATTTGCTCAAACGGCTGTTGTTCCTCGTCAATATTAACATTAGGTGGTTTATAACATATCCCAACCAATAGTTGGTTTCCCTTCTTTTCCCCAAAGCAGATATTTACCCATAAAGCTTTCACATTTTCCTCATCGCATTCCATTTGCTTAAGATTTGGCTTTAAATCATGGTTGACATACAAACATACCCCACCACCCTTCTTGTTTTTCCTATCCTTCCTAAATAACATGTACCCATTTAAGTTAACTGCCCAGTCATGTGTCTCATCCCACCATGTTTCAGTTATGCCTATTATATCATATTGTTTAGTTTATGCTAATGCCTCTAGTTCCCCCATTTAGTTTTTTAGGTTCCTTGCATTAGTAAGCATACATTTAATATTATGCGTCACTTGTATATTTTGTGAATTATCATCATTACATAGCTTCTCTGTTCTGAGCTTGCCCCTCCCCACGTCTCCACACCCCTTATATTGTGCTAAAGCCCATCTCCTTTCTGTCCTATCTCCATTTTGTAGATTGCTATGACCCTCCCCCCCTACTACTAGTTTAAAATCTCCTCCAACCTTCTAGCCATCCTATCCCCCAGCACTGTAGACCCTCTCCCATTTAGGTGCAATCCATCACCACTATAAAGGTTGTACCCAATCGCAAAGTCGGCCCAGTGCTCTAAAAACCCAAAACCCTCATTCCTGCACCAAGACTTAAGCCACGCATTGACCTCTCTAATCTCCTGCTGCCTTTCCACTGTAGCGCGTGGCACATGTACTATCTCAGAGAATACCACTTTGGAGGTCCTTTTCTTAAGTTTGCTAGCTAATTCCCTGAAATCATTCTTTAGGACCTTCCATCTTCCTCTTACTTTGTCATTGGTACCAACATGGACCATGACCGCTGGGTCATCCCCAGCCCCTCCCAATAATCCATCCACTCTGAGATCAAAAATTTTCCACACTGGCCCACTGGCACTTAGTTCCAGCAGAGGGAGGGAAGGGCCTGGGAGCCTCTTTGTTCCTCCCGCGAACAGCCTGGTCAGATCGTTGCCGTGCGTTACCATGGCAGCACTCCAATACAGTGCTGTGCTCGCAGGAGGACAGGAGAGAGGAGCTGCAGGTTAAAGTGAACATGCCATCACTGGACCACCAGGGCTTGCAGCATTATGTACCCCCTACCTGTTAAAAAGGTAAGAAGAAGGGAGGGGGAGACCTTAAGATAGATTTCCACATCTCACCCACCTACACACAGCATAGACCCTATGCACCCTTCACATACAAACACACACTACACTCGTTACACACACACACACACAGACTGCCCCCTCACACACTACACCCCTCCCACACACAGACTGCCCCCTCACACACACACTGCACTCCTCCCACACTGCACCTCTCACACATACACTGCACCCGACACAGACACACACACATACACAGCAACCCTAACAAACACACACACAGCAACCTTCACACACACACTCTGCACCCTTCACACACACCCCACCCCACAGACACACATAGAAAAAAAAAAAGTAAATTTAAGTACATCTTTCCCCTTTCTAAAAATAAAACAAATTCATACTTGCGCTATAAAATTTGTTACTGTGGCACTGGTGGGCGGTAAGGAAATTTTACCATCAACAAAGATACAAAAGTGGGCGGTAGGTATTAAAAGGTTGACTACCCCTGGTCTAGACAATGAAACAGGTAAATTAATTAAGAAAATGTTCAGTGGGGCAAAGCAAAAGACAATATATTCCACTGCCATGGAATTGCAAAACCTGAAAGGGAATATAAACATCCCCACAGCTCTGAAGAAATGGGAGAGTGATCTGTCCGTTCGCTAATCTATGTTCGGGGGAATTATTAGGGAGCCTTCACAGCTCCTCTTTTTTAATTATATGTATTTGAGTGTTATTAGTTATAGAAATGTTCAAAATAAATAATCTATTCAGGGGACATTCATTGATTTGTTTTTACTTTATTTTCATATTTTATATCTTGTGTTTCTAAAAATAATGAATTTCTGTTGAACTAGTACAGGGGTAGGCAACCTACGGCACTAGTGCCATGCACGGCACTCAAGGTGTCTTTGCACGGCACTCAAGGCTGCTAGAGCCAAACAGTAGAATCTGGTCAGGTGATTTCTGCTTTGAAAAAACAAACAGCAAAAAAACAAAACACTAAGGCAACTTAACTGTGACATTTATGGCTTAACATTTGACATTTACAGGCAATGTAAAGAAAGCCTGACTTGGCCATCGTATTACTCTGTGGATATAGTATTACCTCCAGTGAAAGAGACAGAGCTAAGACAAATAAAGTAAAATAAGTGAAATGAGAGAAAAAGTAACTAACAAAGAAAGTAAAATAATGAAATGGACAGTAACATACAATTAACAATGCAGCATTCTGGTTCAAATAGTTGCAAAGACTTTTTCCAGGTTTATAGGTCCTACTTTACATCTCAGGAAATTGTCTGTCATAAGATTATTGACAGCTAAATCACTGCAGCACTCATAATGGTAATAGATTCAGATATCAACATCTGACATTGGCTGACAGCCTGATACGTCCGGATTGTAAATATGTCACAAGCTTTGTATGAAGTGTTCCCTCCAAACATTTGATATATACACACGCACATACAAAGACCCTGTACTGCAGGTTGTTCCCATAATAAACTGGGAACAATGCAGGGATAACAGAGGTTCCTAAACTCAGGTAGAACTAGAACATGCATGTCCTGGTCTGCCTGAGACTAATGAGAGTACTACCTTTACAATAAAATCATCCCTACATTACCCTAACATACTATACTAAACATTAACCCCTACATTACCCTAACACTACAATAAATCAAACATTACCCGTGCACTACCCTAACATGCTATGCTAAACATTAACCCCTACATTACCCTAACACTACAATAAATCAAACATTACCCGTGCACTACCCTAACATACTATACTAAACATTAACCCCTACATTACCCTAACACTACAATAAATCAAACATTACCCGTGCATACCCTAACATGCTATACTAAACATTAACCCCTACATTACCCTAACACTACAATAAATCAAACATTACCCGTGCACTACCCTAACATACTATACTAAACATTAACCCCTACATTACCCTAACACTACAATAAATCAAACATTACCCGTGCACTACCCTAACATACTATACTAAACATTAACCCCTACGTTACCCTAACACTACAATAAATCAAACATTACCCGTGCACTACCCTAACATGCTATGCTAAACATTAACCCCTACATTACCCTAACACTACAATAAATCAAACATTACCCGTGCACTACCCTAACATGCTATGCTAAACATTAACCCCTACATTACCCTAACACTACAATAAATCAAACATTACCTGTGCACTACCCTAACATGCTATGCTAAACATTAACCCCTACATTACCCTAACACTACAATAAATCAAACATTACCCGTGCACTACCCTAACATGCTATGCTAAACATTAACCCCTACATTACCCTAACACTACAATAAATCAAACATTACCCGTGCACTACCCTAACATACTATGCTAAACATTAACCCCTACATTACCCTAACACTACAATAAATCAAACATTACCCGTGCACTACCCTAACATACTATACTAAACATTAACCCCTACGTTACCCTAACACTACAATAAATCAAACATTACCCGTGCACTACCCTAACATGCTATGCTAAACATTAACCCCTACATTACCCTAACACTACAATAAATCAAACATTACCCGTGCACTACCCTAACATGCTATGCTAAACATTAACCCCTACATTACCCTAACACTACAATAAATCAAACATTACCTGTGCACTACCCTAACATGCTATGCTAAACATTAACCCCTACATTACCCTAATACTACAATAAATCAAACATACCCGTGCATTACCCTAACATGCTATGCTAAACATTAACCCCTACATTACCCTAACACTACAATAAATCAAACATTACCCGTGCACTACCCTAACATACTATGCTAAACATTAACCCCTACATTACCCTAACACTACAATAAATCAAACATTACCCGTGCACTACCCTAACATGCTATGCTAAACATTAACCCCTACATTACCCTAACACTACAATAAATCAAACATTACCCGTGCACTACCCTAACATACTATACTAAACATTACCCCTACACTACAATACATCAAACATTACCGTGCACTACCCTAACATACTATACTAAACATTGCCCCTACACTACAATAAATCAAACATTACCCGTGCACTACCCTAACATACTATACTAAAGATTAACCCTACACTACCCTAACACTACAATAAATCAAACATTACCCTGCACTAACCTAACATATTATACTAAACATTAACCCCTATACTACCCTAACACTACAATAAATCAAACATTACCCGTGCACTACCCTAACATACTATACTAAACATTACCCCTACACTACACTGCATTTTCACTAAACACTAACCTATAATACAATAATACTGAACATAAGCACCTAGACTATACGAACACATACCAGCAAATCCAGCACTTTCACTAACTCTAATCTAATTATATTATGTAACATAAAATATACATAATGGCAAAGCTTGCACTGGAGAAAAATAATGTTATCCTGGGGTTTTGGAGGCATTTATAAGCAACTTTACCATTGGTCTCATGGTTTTATTATGATGTGTCCACAAACCCTCGATGGCATTATTTTAACCCCTTAAGGACTGGACTGTTTTTGCGATGTTGTACATTTGCGACCAGGCATATTTTTACACTTTTGTGGTGCTTGTGTTTGGCTGTAATTTTCCGCTTTCTCATTTACTGTTCCCATACAAATTATATATTGTTTTTTTCAGGACAAAAGGGGCTTTCTTTACATACCATTATTTATATAATCTCATGTATTTTAATTTAAAAAAAATAAAAAAATATGATGAAAAATTGAAAAAAAATACATGTTTTTGACTTTTACTTGAAAAATCTTTTACTCATCTACAAAAGCGAATGAAAAAAACTGCTAAATAGATTCAAAATTTTGTCCTGAGTTTAAAAATACCTAGTGTTTACGTGCTTTTTTGCTTTTTTTTGCATGTTATAGGGCTATAGGTACAAGTAGGATATTGCGGTTTCAAAACATACATTTTTTAAAATTTATCAATAGTGACATTGTAACACTATTATCTGTCATAAATCTCTGAATAACACCCCACATGTACATATTTTTTTTAAAGTAGACAACCCAGGGTATTCAATATGGGGTATGTCCAGTCTTTTTTAGTAGCCACTTAGTCGAAAACACTGGCCAAAGTAAGCATTCATATTTGTTTGTGTGTGAAAAAGTAAAAAAACTAAATTGAACGCTAATTTTGGCCAGTGTTTGTGACCAAGTGGTTACTAAAAAAGACTGGACATACCCCATTTGCAATACCTTGGGTTGTCTTCTTTTGCAAATGGTATGCCATCATGGGGGTAATTCTCATTCCTGGGCTACCATACGCTCTCAAAGGCAACGTAACCAACCTGGCCATTTTCAATGTAAAATATTTGACCCATATATTTGACCTTGTAACTTTCAAAAATGCTATAAAACCTGTACATGGGGGGTACTGTTTTACTCGGGAGACATCGCTGAACACAAATATTAGTGTTTAAAAACTGGAAAACGTATCACAACAATTATATCATCAGTAAAAGTGCTGTTTGTGTGTGAAAAATGCAAAAAAGTAACTTTCACTGACAATATCATCACTGTGATATGTTTTACTGTTTTGAATCACTAATATTTGTGTTCAGCGAAGTCTCCCGAGTAAAACAGTACCCCCCATGTACAGGTTTTAGGGTGTCGTAGAACGTTACAGGGTAAAATATAGTGCTAGCAAATTAAATTCTCTGGAATTTCGGCCTGGGTTGGCAGGCAGGTCCCTCAAATTGCAATCAATAAAATTACTGAATTATGTAAAAATATTACATAAATACGCACGTAGAATTTAAATATATATGCATATTTATATATTTGAAGTCTACGTGTATATTTATATAATTATTTATGTAATTTTGTATATGGATGTATGTATATTTCTTATTATTTTTATTTATTTTTATATACATAGATATATATACAAATTCATTCTAAGTGTATTTTGATATAAATATATATATATTAATTTTAAAATACAGTTAGAATAAAATTTCATATAGTATATAATTTTTTTTAAATTTTTTATTATTATTTAAAAAATTTTATTTAATTTAAATTACTTATTATTTATATTTTATAATAATATATATACAATATATATAGTTATTATATATATTATATATATACGTGTGTAATTTAATTATAAGTGTATTTTTATATTAATATAAGTACATATTAATATAAAAATACACTTAGTATGGCATTATATATATGATATATAGACATATATTATATAGATATAATATATGTCTATATATCATATATACACATATATAATTATTATTATTTTTTTATTAACATTAACTTTATTTATTTTTCTGATTTTACACTAGCAGGGAGACTGCCTGTCAGCACAGACAGTCCCCCTGCAGGCAGACACATGGACACCTATTGTGACCATGTGATCGCTGTGTTAAGCGATCACATGGCCACAGGGGTCCTAATCTGCCGTGGGGAGACTGTCTGGGCTGCAGACAGTCTCCCCACAACCGGAGCCACGCTGATCGCCGCCGGGGGAACGACGGCGATCAGGTAAGTAGCTCTGACCGTTAGGACGGTTCAGGACCGTCATCGGTCGGCAACGCAAAAATGCCGATGACGGTCCTGAACCGTCCTCGGTCCTAAGGGGTTAAACTAATACACGGTTCAGTATTCTATATGTTCTCTCTCTATTGTGACAAAAGTACTCCTTTCCTCTGGTATCTGGTCCTGGGATTAGGGTGTTACACACAGTCTTTTCAGGTTTAAGATACTCTTCACACACTGGATGAGGTAAAATGGCTTGCTCTTTTTACTGTGGTTCCAAAATTCAACAATGTGCAGTAAAGTATAACAAAGTATAACAAAATAAAGAAAAACAAAATCCTTGCTCTTCTGAGCACTAACTTAAAGGACCACTATAGTGCCAGGAAAACATACTCGTTTTCCTGGCACTATAGTGCCCTGAGGGTGCCCCCACCCTCAGGGTCCCCCTCCCGCCCAGCTCTGGGGAGAGGAAAGGGGTTAAACTTACCTTTTTCCAGTGCTGGGTGGGGAGCTCTCTGCCTCCGATCCTCCTCCGCTCCTCCCCGTCGGCTGAATGCGCACGCGCGGCAAGAGCTGCGCGCGCCTTCAGCCGGTCACATAGGAAAGCATTATCAATACTTTCCTATGGACGCTTGCGTGCTCTCACTGTGATTTTCACAGTGAGAAGCACGCAAGCGCCTCTAGCGGCTGTCAATGAGACAGCTGCTAGAGGAATTGGGGGAAGGCTTAACCCATTCATAGTTTCTCTGAAACTGCTATGTTTATAAAAAAAATGGGTTAACCCTAAAAGGACCAGGCACCCAGACCACTTCATTAAGCTGAAGTGGTCTAGGTGCCTAGAGTGGTCCTTTAACAAAATAATTATTTTACTGGGTTGGATGGCTTGTCCATTTCTCAACATAAATATTCACCCTTTTATTTGTCTATGTTCTTTCTCTCTCAACTCACAGGAAGCCAAAAACACAATCGCTCCTCCTTCTTGGCAGTGGAGTATTTAATAGCACCTGCAATTAATTATCTTTTTTTGAGTGAGGTAAATCAGAGTGGTGAAACTCTGCAACCGGACTATTCACTTGCAGTTTCCAAGTAACCTCCAAAATGTTGTCCACCCTTTTCCAATCTGTGTTTTATTTGAGGTATAGTTGGTACATTACAGAAATGAGAAAAAAGAGTTATATCTCTTTGTGCACAAAACCATAATATAACAGGTATACATAAGATACTAAACTCTGCATTATTCAGCTTCTTTTTTGTTTTGTTTTGTTGAAGATAACAGGATTTCTTCCGGTTTGTTTGGCCAACCTCATGAACAAGCGGTAAAATTGTACTGAACATGTGTAGCATAATGCGTCATAAGAAAAATAATGCAAGTTAATGCAATATTAATTTTAAAACCACACGTTTCCATGGGACTAATATTCTGCATTACACAAAGTAGCAAGCACAATTCCTTGATTTCGGTCACATGTTATATAGATTATATATATTTTATATATATAAAAGCAGAAGTCTTGCACTCTGATTTCTGTAAGATTTTTTGGCTGGAGCACTGTAATATATTTGCATTTCATCTTAATGTAAACATATAATGTAATATAAAAGGTACATTATAGCAATTCATATATGGGAGGATCTCTGGGTTTTACATACATTTATAAATTACTTTCTCTATGTGTAAATTTTACACAAATTGTGTTTTTGTTAAAAATAATTTCTTTCCATAATGGTAAATGCCTGCACATAGAGAAAACTTGGAATATGTAATACAGTGTGGGTAAAAACATGTAATAGATTTGCTGTCACGGAAGGCATTTTTTGTGAAAATCAATTTCCAATGTTCCTGTTGATTCTGGTTATTGTGGCCCATAGAATGGAGTCTGTTCAATAATGTCCCCTGCTAGTACATATTGCTTTCCACTCACAGTGCAAACCGCATAGATCTAATGATGCTCATCTACAGATAATTAGCAGTGTAATCAATAGTGGCAGAAACAGTTCACAATATCATACAATGATGTGTGCATCCCTTTTATTGTATAAAAACGGTCACAAAACAATGTTTGTTTAACATGGTGTGGTTGAAGAAGTGGCAGAGAGAAAAACTGAATTTTAATTGGCTTATGGTGCAAGAAATTTAGAGCAAGAACATATTTGTAGTTATTTTATTTACACAAACTACATCACAAACAAATTTATAAGTTTGAAGGCTTATTTGTGTAGCTCTCCGATAGATTGATGTACGCGCAATGTTATGGAGAGAGTAATGTCAGGGTAGAAAAGAGGATAGAGTGATTTGGGTGACACCAGAAAGTGTTACTCTGGATATGGTGAACTGTTTGGTGCCTCTGTAACTGCACTGGATTTGCTGTCAGGTAACTGGGTTTTGTCAGTTATATCCCCTGAATGTCACTGACACAAAAGGTGGGGTACATTAGCGACATACCTCCTACTGTCACATGCCCTTCCATACCAGTTTACTAAGCATGGAGGTATGGCTGTACAGTGTTGGGACCTTGGTGTTGATATCAAAGAATTTCAAAACCATCCCTCCTCTCAAGAACTTAAATAAAAAAATGTAAAAACACCGATGTGCACTCAATGAGTCTCCATCTCAAAGCTTTATACTTATGACCCACAATTCTGCATCAGTGCCTCTCCTGACTTTTCTAGAGTGTGGCAGGATCTATGCCTTGGACAAAGAGGCTATGTTTCTCAGCTAGTAACTGTTTTTACCTTGTTTGACTGGAAACTAAAGCAAAACTAGACTGCACACCAGTATACAGGCTCTGCTGGACTTGCAAAACCACATACCAAACCACAAGGGAACATCTTAGCATACTATGATGTCTTGGTGTCCACTTCCTGTGTGGTATGTTGTACTACAGTGACAACAACAAGATTTAGAACGCAGCTGCATTAGTACGTTCAAGATAGAGACATAGATATTTAATTGAATTTGTATTTTTTTTTTTATTCTTTATTTTTGCATTGACATAGACTGAGACAGTGCAATACAAGGAGGCTTGTGCATAAGCCATATGTCCATACCCACCTCAGTTATACCGTGATACAGCACTGAAAAGCGATTGGTTACATAAATGTACGGCATCATAGATTCACAGTCAGTCAAGGATTTTTTGTTTTTTTTATTTGGGTTTATTTTTGAGAATCAGGTAGATTCTATCCCTGTAGCGCATGCCTATTATTAAATTGAGCTATATTAAAGTGTATATTTCTTTTTGGGGCACATTGCATTAGTAATGTGAATATCATGCCAGATGGTAATGTTCTTCTCCTGTTTCTGTACAATTGTACAGTAAAGCTTTTCTGTGGAGATTAATCTGCTTGCCTCTGCATTACTTCATTCAGATGAGCCGGTGCCTCTTTCAATGTAAAGTGTTCAGTCAGCACGAGTAGGTAGTCACACTCAGAACTTAGCTTTTATTCCAGGTCTGCTATGATCATTTCATTTACTCTTAACCTTGAACAATCCACAATGAAATACATGGAAAAATACATGTTTCTTAGGAAATGAGTGCGAAACAGATTGGAACCATTTTCTGATAAATGATTGTAGACTGGCTTCTCCAAGTGTTTTGTTACCTTCCACAAAACAAACCTGTTAAAGAGAAACTACCATATTTGAAACAGCAGTGTTTTCAGAAGTGGATATTACGCACTGTTTTTAATATAGATCCTATAGATAATATAGATTTTTTTATATTTTTGTTATTAACACTGAACTCTTGACATTGTAACTATTTTTTGAACAGACACGAATTAGCATTTCCTACCGTGTGACATGTTTTTTCCGTTAGCTTCTCATACAATGAAACTTGTCAGTGCAAGGGATTTGTATGTTTTTGTATGTTTGTGATTTTGCCAGTGTTAATTGATTCTCCATTGATGTAAATGGGGAATCAGCGTATGTACATTTGCAGAAACAGAGTTAACATGTGAAAACAAACACAATTGTTATTTTAGAAAAAGGTAAATTATTCTGTATGAAAGTCAAGGTCTACAACTTAACCAATAACAGTTTGGATGTCAAAACTTTTACTAATCAAAATATATATACACATTTAATGTTAACTATCAAAAATAGTGCATAGGCAAAAGAACAAATATTGTATAGTTATTTTAAAAAATGAAGCAATATCTTACATTATCTGCTGGATTAGAACATAGACCAACAAAATATGGATCTGAGCTTGAAAAAAAAAAAAGAATATTGTTCTTGAAGGGAACACAACAATTTATCTAATTCTTTTATTCAATAAGTGGTAAAAATGACCCATTTGAACTTTTATTGTAGAGAACAGAATGGGCCAGGTATCTACATCTCCAGTCATCTCATAAATCTTTTCAACCAGCTGCAGTGAGGTAGAAAAGAGTTAAAATTAAAAAATAGAGATGCTCTTTTTAAAAGAAAAGAAAGAAAAAAAGTTGTCTGGGTCTACAGGACTTATGTTTATCCAGAGTTCACCCAAGATTTGTCCCCTCAAAAACCATTAATTGAACCCTCAAAACCCCTTACTGTACTAACTTAGTGTAATCCAGCCAATCACAAAGCAGGGGCAGGGAAAGGCTATCCATAATATAGGAACTTATAAACCACCTCCACAAAGTTCTTCCCTTTTGGACCACTCAGTCATTGTGCTAGAGTGTAAAAATGTATATATACTTTTTAATATGCATGTTTCGATGTTTAACTTTTTTGCTTTGTATTTTTTATAGTATGCTCTGGTTTTTATGGCTTTTTCTGTGATCCCAAAAATGAAATGATTTAAAAGATGTTTTAAAGCTTTTTAAATGTTATTAAATCCTCCCTTTCCACTTAATCATAAAATGAAAACATATGGATATATAGGTATTCTTGTAATGAAGGGGAGGGATTTTATTACTGGTTTGATGTTTGTGAGTTTTGAGACCCATAACAAGATGTGTACCACGTTATTAACAGGGTATTGTACATAACCTTATTCTGTATTAGAGAAGGGGTCATAGTATTGGATGTAAAAGAAGCAACAAACATGGGCATCCACAGGATGAATTTTTCAGCTTGTGCCAGTATTTTTCTTTAGAGATTGATAATACACTGCAATACCGGCGCCGGCCAGTAGGCGGCACTGTGTGTGGAGAGAGGCAGGGATAGGAAGCTACACAGATCCAATAAGTGAGGGATGGAGGGCAGCATACAGATCAGGTAAGTGGGACAGAAGAAGCACAAAGGTAAAGGAGAAGAAGGAGCAGAAAGGGCCAGCAAAGAGCTGGATAGGGCAGCAAGGAGCTGTAAGAGGCAGGAGGATCCCAACAGTAAAGTAGGAGAAGGAGCAGAAATGAACAGAAATGAGGAGAAAGGGTCAGCAAGGAGCAGGAAGGGGCAGGAAAGAGCAGGAAGGGTCAGCAAGGAGCAGGAAGGGGTAGGAAAGAGCAGGAAAGGTCTGCAAGAAGCAGAAAGGGGCAGGAAGGAGTGGGAAGGGTCTGCAAGGAGAAGGAAGGGTCTGCAAAGAGCAGCAAGGAGCAGAAAGGGGCAGGAAGGGACAGAAGGAGCACAAGGTTAAAGGAGCAGAATGAATCAGAAGAAGCACAAAGGTAAAGTAGGAGGAGGGGCAGGAAGTGGCAGCAAGAAACAAGAAGGGGCAGCAAAGAGCAGGAAGGGGCAGCACGGAGCAGGAAGGGGCTGCAGGAAGGGACAAAAGGAGCACAAAGGTAAAGGAGCAGAAAGAATCAGGAGGAGCACAAAAGTAAAGTAGAAGAAGGAACAGAAATCGCCAGCAAGGAGCTGGAAAGGGCAGCATGGAGTAGAAAGGGTCAGGAAGGAGCTGAAAGGTGCAGAAGGAGCACAAAGGTAAAGGAGCATAAAGGAATATAACTCAGCAGGAAGGGTCTGCAAGGAGCCGGAAGGGTCTGCAAGGAGCCGGAAGGGGCAACAAGAAGCAGGAAGGGTCTGCATGAAGCAGGAAGGGTCTGCAAGGAGCAGGAAGGGTCTGCAAGGAGCAGGAAGGGGCGGCAAGAAGTAGGAAGGGCCAGCAAGAAGTAGGAAGGGCCGGCAAGGAGCAGGAAGGGTCTGCAAGGAGCAGGAATGGTCTGCAAGGGGCAGAAAGGGCTAGCAAGGAGTTGGAAAGGGCCAGCAAGGAGTTGGAAAGGGCAGCATGGAGTAGAAAGGGGCAGATGGAGCACAAAGGTAAAGTAGGAGAAGGAGCAGAAATGAAGGAGAAGGAAGGGTCTGCAAGGAGCAGAAAGGGGCAGGAAGGTAAAGTAGAAGAAGGAGCAGAAAGAGCCAGTGAGGACCTGGAAAGGGCATCAAGGAGTAGAAAGGAGCTGGAAGGGGCAGAAGGAGCACAAAGGTAAAGTAGGAAAAGAAATGAATAGAAATGAGCAGGAAGGGTCAGCAAGGAGCAGAAAGGGACAGAAGGAGCAGGAAGGTAAAGGAGCAGAAAGAATCAAAGGTAAAGTAGGAGAAGGAGAAGAAAGGAACAGAAAGGGCAGCAAGGAGCAGGAAGGTAAAGTAGGAGAAGGAGCAGGAAGGAGAAAGCACAGAAATGAGCAGTAAGGGACAGCAAGGAGCTGGAAGGGGCAGAAGGAGCACAAAGGTAAAGTAGGAGAAGGAGCAGAAAGGGTCTGCAAGGAGCAGAAAGGAATCAAAAAGAGAAAGGAGCTGAAGGGCACATAAGAAGCAGAAAGTAACAGAAAGGTAAAGGAGCAGAAGACAAGGAGGATAGAAGACAGTGTCTTTTGATTGTCTTACCCACTTTAGTGTATCTTATTCCCTATTTTCCCCTTTGTTTGTCTTACACCCCTCTTGTGTGTCTCTTACAACAACCTTTGTGTGTCTCTTACAACCTACCTTTTTGTGTCATTTAAATCTTCTCAGTCATTTTGTGTCTCTTTTTACACTTCTCCAGCCACTCTGTATTTCTCTTTCTGGTAGTACTATGCATGTGTCTTTCTTCCCATGCCCCTTTTGTGTGTTTCCCAGGTCCAGCCCCTTTGCCCCTTTCTTCCCTTTCCACTTGCTGTGTGTCTATGCCCCCCCAACCCCTCTGTGTTTCTCCTTTTCCCCTTCCCAGCTCCTTTATGTGTCTCTTTCTTCTGCCAGCACCTATGTGTGTCTCTTTTCCCACAGCCCCTCTGTATATCTTTTTCTTCTGACCCAGCAGTTCATTTAGTACCCCTTCCTCAGCCCCGTGTGTCTCTCATTTCCCTTTCCCATTCATTCTGTGTGTCTCCACCCCAAACCCCTCTGTGTCTCATTCTCCCTCCCTAGCCCCTCCATATTTCTCATCCCTCAGCCACTCCAGGTCTCTCATCCCCCCACCCTCTCCATGTGTCTTATCTCCCCCAAACCACTCCATGTGTTTTATTTCCTCCTAGCCCTACCATGTGTTCCATTTTTCCCTGCCCCAGCATGTGTTTCATCTTCCCCCCAGCCCCTCTGTGTGTCGCTTTTTCCCTCGTAGCTACTACATGTGTCTCATTTCTTCCCAGCTCCTCCATATGACTCATCCCCCCTCTAGCCCCACAGTGTGTCTCATTGCCCCCAGCCTCTCTATATGTCTCATCCTCGCCACCTATTTTCTCTTGCCCAACTATCTCCCCTCCTGTGCCTACAGACCTCCATGTAGAGTGTCCGATTGGACTGCAGGTAGAGGATCTTCTATTTCCTGTTTGATCGGGTAGAGGATACAGAAAATCCTCTACCCACGGTCCGCTCCGTGCTACATGCTACAAGCGTGACTGGCCGCTCACCATCGTCCTATGCAGCCGTGCACCGGCCCTGAAGATATGCTTACTGGGAAATTTACCAGTATCCCATTGGTCCATAACAGCACTGATTCTATTTTGTTCTTTCCAAAATTGAGTGTGGCCTCAATTTGAAATCTAATAAAACCACAGTCAGTAAAACACGTGAGATGCACAGCAAATTGTCTTTGATGATCTGCATTTGTGCTCCCAATTTCTGGTGATCATCTGCGAAGTAAGGTTTTTAAATAACTGATACAAAGGAAATTCCATGCCATGACATCTGGTTTCTTCTCTTGTTACCAGTAAGAATTAGCAAAGGAATGAGAATATGTTAGATCTCTAGTACTGGCGATTAGTGATGTTAAGTATACATTCTTCCTTTTAATGTATATTCTTCAATGATGTATTAAGAAAACAAATGCATGTGACTTAACATTAGATACATGTTTCATTATATATAACTCCTTTTCCTTTGTAGGTGTTAGTATACAGTTAAAGTCATCCTGTCATTCTCACATTATGTCGATGATAGTTTCACAGTTGGGTAGGTTTAATTTGAATCTACATACAATTCTAGCAAAATAGATTGAAATATATACACATACCTATGGATTGTCTCTTCCACATGCAATGTGGCATTCAGAAATGGATGGGTCAACTGCGTGAGCATCCACCACAGTTCCAAATGATTTTGGCAACATCCCATAATTTCTAAAGTGCAAACTATTCACAACTTTCTTAGTTGTAGTCTAAAAGCACAGACCAAACAGGGCAAAAATGTATATTGAGGAAACATGTCATTTTTACATTTACTAGCAAATTAGCACATTGCATAGATAACATTGTACTCCCTATACAATGACAACATTGTTAATATAACATATAAACTTTAACTTTCAGAGAAAAAGAAAATAAGGAATACATTAACAAATTAAAGATATAGCAGGTAGATAATTACTTTTTTTTTTAAACATTTTAAACTTTAAACTGAAATTAGTTGGAAATAATATTAAATTGTCTGTTTAAACCATTTTACATATCAGCAAAGTAAACCACAATGTTCTTTATTCTCCAACCTTTATAAATGTTAGCTCGATTTTCCTAATAAAACTAGTTCTCAAATAAGCTCACAGATTTCAACAGATAAATCTGATTGCTTTGGAGAACTGTGCACTGCGCATGCACCAGCTGAAGGAATACCTAGGGAATTTAATGATGCTTCCTTTTTTTAACAGCAAATCATCTGCAACAGAATTTGATTCACTTTTTCTTGAGGATTCTACCCTATAGTATGCATGGTGATTTAACTTTAACTTAAAAATAATATTTAATGTGTTTTAACTAATTTGTCTTATCCAAACACTAAAACAAATGCAACTCCAGAAACCTCCAGGTTCCAGAATACAGTGAAAAGGATTGCATAGTTACATAGTTCTCACATCTGTTTTTGCTATTGATCAAAAAGAAGGCAAAAAAAAAAACAGTTTGAAGTATGTCCAATTTTGCAACAAACTAGGAAAAATTATTCTTGACCCCAGAATGGCAGACACATCTCTACTTGGTTCAATAAGCTATCACCCAAATAATTAAAAAAATATATATTTTTTGCAAGTATTCATTCAATTGTTGAAACATCTGTACATATTTTGCTAAAACCACCTCTTCACCTCTTGAGACTTTCTTCCAGTCTAAATATGTGGCCTTGTGTCCTATGTATCATCCTGTTTACGAATAGATTTCTAGACAATGGTTTGTATCGGCCCTGAATATATTTGTATGATGCTATCATATCCATTCTTAATTTTTTTTTAAATTAAAAATATATTTCTACCTAACTCCTTTATGTTGTATCTACGTACACCTGTGTGCTTATAGAGAGATAAATAGATTGTGTATAGCACATGTATGTATTCTCAGTATCACATTGTCTGCATTCCATCCATCTATTTACTTGTTTTTTTACAGAACTAATCCAGATTGGAGGAAGTGTGATGTTGTTTCCAGTGCGGGGATGTGGCTTGCAAAGTTTGACATTGTCCAGCAGTATCTTCCAGCAGTAAATTAGACACTGATGAAGCATTATTATGGGATGCATAAAGTCAAAGCAGGATTACTCAGTTCGAAACACTGATCACTTGGGAAACAATTATGAAAATCAGGGCAGTAACGTGGAAGAGAAGATTGCCTTGGTCCAAGCAAACCAAGAGGAAAATAAAAAAGACTCATTAACTACTAACCCTATACTTTTGGAATATGCACACCGCCTGTCTGAAGAAATTGTACACAAGGCTGTAAAACAATGGGCCGAAGTGGACAGCAAGTACAGTGATATACCATATATTGAGAGTGATGTACCTTGACAGCTTGTGATGGACAATCTGCCGGGAGCTTAAGGGTTCTTGGAGTACAGTATGTGGGATTCTTTAAATGCCACCTTCGCAGTCATGGAGGCATAGATAACACATCACACAGCAAGGATTAAAATATAAATGCCTTTTTCATTCTTAAAAATTAATGAAAACTTTCAAAATCCAATCCAAAGAGATTTGCTTCAATAATGTTGCATTAAATGTTGATTGGGCTGTACGGTGTTGAAGGTTAAAGATACTTACTATGGTGCTATTTTATTAATTCCTTATGGTATTTCAAACTGATATAGCACAAACCAACACATGTAGAGATAAAACATGAAAGCAGGGTAACACAAAATATATCTCTATACAAATGGTAAATCAGCTTGCCTTTCCAATCTTTTCCTGGGGACGAATAATAGAAATATATCTAAAAAATATGATCAGAATATATTCACTGATACATAAAAAGAATAAAGTTTGAATACTGTTGATTCTGTATGCTATTGGTACTTTGATATGCTGTGCGTCGCCAAATTCAGACACGAAGGTATTGTACTGTTTTTTTATACATATAGACTCTCTGCCTTTCCTTAAAAGAAAACAATAGGTATATTTTCTGTATTGTTTATTTGTAGGCTATTTCATATATTCACTAAAATGTATGCCATTTATTTATTTTTCTCAAATTTACCATAGCTATTGTAAAAACAATAAGTATATGAAAAGATTTCCCAAGGCATAAATGATCTTGCATAAAAATTATAATTTTTCTAAAAGGAAACTATACTTTTGTATGAAAGGCTGTGGTTTCTAAACAAAGGGAGCACAACAAAGTCTTATAGAAGAGTTCTGCATGTTAGCTATTTGCTAACAAGCTCTTTGTTTTTATCCATTCAACTAAATTATCCCTCTAAGGATGAAGTAAATTGTACAAGTTCTGAACCAAAACAAAACTTGGAATTTAACTCTATGCCTGTTCAACCATAATTTACCTCTTTCATATTACTTCACCCACACTTATTATATATCACTTTGTTCAGGGGAATCAGGGCTTTTTATTTCACATCACATATTCATATATTTAACATCTTTTAAAATGAATAAAATCTAAAAAAGTATGAGAAATGTAGTTTGTTTTTTTCCAAAGTCTGCATGGCATTTTAACTGTGATATAAATTTCCTGGACTTTCTGTCTGGGTTGTCAGGCAAGTGCCCCAAATTATAATTAATAAAATCATCCCGGGAAGTCCAATCAGTCAAACAAGTCGTTCTGAGTCATGTGATCGCGGTTTCCTTGAGATCACATGACTCAAATCGGCGGGATTGGCTGCAAAGGGACTGCCTCGGTTTTCAGTCAGTCCCCCTAATCAGATCCGGTGAGGAAAGTGGGAATTTATGCTGCAGGGAGGGCCCGATCATTAGAGCCACCCTAACAACTTTAAAGCCCTCTTTTTGTAGATCGACTTAGCACGCCCTAACATCAGGAAAGGGTTAAAGTCTATTTTTTTAATGATTGTTTAATGCTCAATACAGTGCGATTTAGGAGTTAATTCACTTTGTTTATATAGCCCTAGCCACACCTCCCTGCATGTGACTTGCACAGCTTTCCTAAACACTAACTGTAAAGAGAGATTAAACCAAGCATGTCAAACTTGCAGCCCACAATGAATATATGCGGAGTTTGACATGTTAACTAGGGCAGAATAGACACTTGCTCTCCCAACATTGCAGGTGCCTACTCTGCTAAAATTTACCCGGCCAGGGTGTCAAGGTTGCTGGTGGTAGCGAGGGAGCTCACGCCCTCTGTAGTGGTGCCGGATGCCGGAATATGACGTCATTCTGGCCCAGCCTCACTTAACTGCACATGTGAGGAGTAGGAATGAAGACCTCCCAAGAGAAGATTTCCACTGGACCCCAGGGAGAGTTCCCACATTAGCTCCCAAAAGTAGGGAGCAATAAATAAAATGATGTGAGTGTGTGCAAGAATGTGTAAATGTGTGTGTCTGTCAGTGAGTGAGTGTCTGTTAGTGTGTGTGTGTCTGTCAGTGAGTGTCTGTCTGTGAGTGTGTGTGTGTTGGTCAGTGTTGCGATGGCCGCGGCTGGACAGTGGATGACCTGGAGGTGCATTAAGGCACGTAACACCATGTCACATTCCGATGTGGCATCAACGTGATCCACCTTCACAGGGTTTCAAGGAGTAGCAGGAGGATCCTCTTTGGCACAGGGTGGTACCGTGGACGGCGACATTGGGGGTATACCAGAGGCTGGACTACAAGGTTGCATACTGGCAGAGGCAATGTGAGTGGAGTCTGTTTGTTGGCTAATATTGTTTTGTTCTTTTTAAACAAGGGCAGGGGATTAGTAGAGGGTGTGCTGCAATTTAGTTGGAGGGAGGGACTGGGGTTTAGTAGAGGTTTGTTTTTTTGTTTTGCTGCCCACATAAACTTAAACTTTGTTTATTTGGCCCGTTTATAACCTTCTAGTTTTATAACCTTCCATTATTGCACAGTCTATTTAATTTAGTGTGTAGTAGATGCAGAATGTGTGTATAGTGGATGCAGTGTGTTTGTGTTTAGTGTATACAGTGTGTTTATAGTGGATGCAGAGTGTGTGTGTGTAGTGGATGCAATGTGTGTGGTAGATGTAGTGTGTGCGTAAATATGTGGATAGGATAGGGGCTGCATTCTGTGGGCAAAAAATCTTTCTTTTTTTAATTTAAAAAATATATATTTTAATTTTATTCCCCCTACACTGCCTGTAACTTGTGGCCAGGGAGGGGGGCTTTACACTCCCTGGTGGTATGGTGCCTTTGTGCAGGCTGCCAACTACCTGTATAGAGAAGAGGGTGCCCAGAACAAGCTATTTCAGTTTCCAGCAGCTCCTTTCTCTTGAGCCCGGCCTGTGTGCGTTGGCATGGCAACACATGGCAATATTCTGAGTGCCGGGGGCTTCTGAGAGTTGTAGAGAGGAGCTGCAGGAAATGGAAGATAGCATGTGCTGGGGCCCATCTTTTCTATACATAATGTAGCGGATGTCCCTGGGGCCCACAGGGGTACATATATATATAGAGTAATTATCGCCAAATATATGTGCACATTTGGAATGGTGGCCTGGGTCCCGTGTAGCCGTATCTGTGGCCCTGTGTGTCCGTCAAAGCCAGGGGAGGTGTGGGTAGGGCTAAATGAACAGAAACAAAAGTGATTTGGGCAAAAGTAAACACAAAAATTAGTTTGGTTATTAAATGGCAAAACATTGAGCAGTGACACTGCAGTGACAACTGGTTATAGTATCCTTTAAAGAAAAACTTGTTATTGCTTGATTTTTCTACAACACACTTCCATTAATAATAACAGGTTAGATAGATACAGCAAATTTATGGCCAGATATGTAATATCTCTATTGCTGTTTGTGAAAAGTGACAAATCATTCATATGTGCATACTTGGGATTCTGGGAACATTGGTGGATCATTGACATATAGCTTTTCCCAGTGGTTTTAGGTTGGGATTGGACTACACAAGCTTACTCCAGATTGATGGTTGAAATATGGGAGAATTTAGGGCCATTCATACAAGGTTGTTTAATTCTAATCTAAAGTGAGGATTGTCAAGAATTCAAAGTGAATTTCAAATTTAAGGCCAAAGTAGCTGAATTCAAAGCATAACTGATTTGGAGATTTTATTTCCAGTTTGGGCTATTTTGACCTTGAATTTGTTATTCACTTTGAATTCCCCAACAACTCTCATGTCAGTAAATGATTGATAGTGACAAATAGGAGGTATGGGACAGAGTTAAGAATTGTGTAACTGGACTTTAAAATCTGTGTTCCCAAAGTAAGTCACTGCTTCCGCACTCAAACCTGGAACCTCTGCTAAATCTAAAAAAATCTGCATATGATGACATGTTATCTGATGTTGCTACAATAATGCTTTGTAAATTGATACTCTGTGCTCAATCTGAAGTTTGGAACTGTGTAAAGGAATAAATATTGGAAACATTTAAAGAGATAACATACATTGTCATTAATTCACCTTGTAAAAAAATGCTTACTAATAGTTATGTTGCTTTTATTATGAATTATGAAGTGGACATTTATTAAACAAAGTTGGGAAAAATCAAGTGAAAAAGCACATTCATAAAAATAATAATCTCATTAACAATTGTAACATCTTCATGTAATTTTATTTTTACAGTATTTTGTACTATAGAGACTTTTCTCAAGCAGCCTTTGAAAATTTTAGAAACTAAAATTACCTACCAAAAAAGGGTAAAAGGTTATTTTCAATAAACAAATTCTCATCTTAAAAAACTAAAAGAAGCTAAAAATTACATCACCTGATTAGATTGTGCTTTGTGATCTGTGATGTGTGCAAAATACAGGGCAAGTATTAAAGAGAAACTCCTTGCACCATAACCACTTTATTGTTGTGCTCACGGTGGAAGAAAAACTAAAACCAGGTACAATACAGATAACTTAAATAGCTCTCCATAGGAGGAGTCCCAACAAAGGTCTCAAGCTCACATATGTCATTAGACAGGAACCCATACAATTTGCATTTTAGTCTGGTATCATTCAAAGGGGCAGTGCAGATAGAAAATGCTGGCAAGTTCCCTCGGTATGAGAAATATCATACATGAGGGGTGCCCAAATGGTAGATTACCAGATGATTTAAAACTAACTTCCATGATGTTTTGTCATTTTAAAGCATTGCAACACATCATGGGAGTTGTAGTTCTGCAACATCTAAGAATCGACCTTTTGGGCACCCCAGAATTATATGGACACAAGTATTGGGACACACCTCTTAATTATTGAATTCAGGTGTTCCAATCAGACCCATAACCACAAGTGTATAAAATCAAGGATATAGCCATGCTGAGTCGTTCTTAAGAGCTCGGTGCGTGGTACTGTGATAGGATGCCATCTTTGCAATAAATCAATTCATGAAATTTCATCCCTAGATATTCCACAGTGGAAGCGGAATAGGAACAGCAGCAACTCAGCCACAAAAACGAAGACCAAGTAAAGTCACAAAGCGGGGTCATCATGTGCTGAGGAGCATGGTGCATAAAAGTCTGTAACACCCTGCTATTTCCATAGCTGAAGTTGGCCTTGTCAGTGAGATGCAACCAATAATGCCTCTAGGCACAATTATAAAGAGGGACCTTTCTTGTAGAGAAGACGTATCTGAATGTTAGATCCTGACTGCTCTTTTAGGTGTGATCAGCCTGAGATGCAGATGGTAAGATGTCCTTTCAGAAATTGCACAAGTGTGCTATAACTAGTCTGAGAACTAAGTAGGGACAAGCAAAGTGCAATCTATTTGTGTTGTTCCCCATTCTCAGTGTTCTTTTGGGACCTGTCTGTGTGCAAACACTTTTCGAACCATTTGACTTTAAGCAGAGTTTAGTACTTACCTACTACTTAAATATTTTGTACACAAAGTACTGGATACTATTAGAAAAGATAAGCTTAAACAGACATAATAGACATAATAGACAAGGAAGTGACTGGTATTTTCCTAAACCTCCACTCCCTTCACATAAAATACACTGTAAACTCTGGCTTACATTTGTGCGTAAGTATAAATCAAGTGTTTTCTGTGTATTTCTTTTTTTATAAAAATGTTTGTTTATTAAAAAGTATTGATTCCTAAATAACAAACATTTAACATTTATTTTCCAACAAGCTTGAATGTGCAAGTGCAAATAAAGTGCCACTCTAATTGCATTACTTTATTGTTTTTTAGTGGTTTTTTTGTGTTTATTGGAACTAAAGGAACTAAAGGGACACTGCAGGCACTATAGCCATTTCACTGAATTGGTTGTTGTACCTGGAGTCCTCTGGTGCTGTTGTTCCATTCAGTCTTCTTTTTTGACCAGTTTACTGAACGAGGGTCCTCAGCTGACAATAGTCCTGCCCACTCTGGAGGTGTGGCAGAGATTAAACACACTTCCTTCTAGCCATACTGATACATACCTGAACTGGCTCTGTGATAGGCTGAGAGCAGTCAGCTGACTTTCTCAGCCAGTCACAGCTGCCCATTTCTACTTCCTCATTATCCAGATCAGTACAGAGGATGGGCTGTTGGGGAAATTAAAATAAAACAGTATGGACTAGCGTCATGACGTAGGATAAGTGGGTGGGTGCTGTCGAGCATGTCCGAAATGCTGAGAGAGGAGGGAGCTGAATCCACACTATCTTGAACACTCGATAATCACATCTGCCGCTTCGGAAGAGAGAATCTATTTGCCCTAGTCTGTTAGTTGGAGTGTCACTGTTTTCTCCACTAGTCCACTAGTACTCACTCAGTAATCAGCAATTGTGGGAACAATCACTTGTTTCCTAAGGAGAGAGCCCAGAAAACCACAGAGAGCTAGGAGCTTGAAGCCAGGCTATCGGATCTCTGGGAGAGCTTATTGTGGAAGCTACAGACAGGAGAAGTACCAGTCATCTCTTTAAATCAACACCGCAATAATTTATTCACCTTGTTGTAGAAAGTTGTAAACACTGGAGTAGAATGGTAAACTGTAGGCTTAGCATATAATCAATACTAAATTGTATTTTACTGAGATAGAGTGCGTAAGATTTAGGAATTATCAATCCTCTATCTTGCCCCCCTTTTCTTAAATCCAATTATCCTTTTTGCCTACAAAATGCCAACTAAAAAAGACAAACAGCATGCATCTAAGGACATAGATGCTTTCTATTCCCCAAAACTTCATAATCCAAGAGATTCTATACAATGCCCAAGTAATGGCCTAGATAAGCCAGGAATAATAGCTAGATTACCAACACACCAGCAAGATCCTTTAAATGCAATCACAGAAGATAAACTGATCTCTGCTCTAGACTCCCTATTGAATAAAATACAAGCTGATTCAAAAGAAAAGATGATTTGAAATAAGAAGTATCCCAGATACCTGGCAACCTATCAACTCTTACAGAAATATATCAAGCACTTCAAGAAGATATTAGCACAGTACAACAGAAAAATATAGATCTAAAAAACACAGTATCCAGATTGGAACTAAAACTAATGGAATTAGAGGAATTAGTGGAATTCCAGAAAATGTTATAGAAGAAACCTTGGAGTTATACTGTACAGAACTTATCACTACCTTTATTCAAGTTGAATTTGGTGGGACCTATGTCACTTGAAAGGACTCATAGATTACCAAAACCTAAAGACTCACGCAATGCAGATCTACCTATGTTATAATCTGTTTTCATAACGCACGCCTTAAAGATCTACTGATTAAAGAAATAAGATCAAAACCAGCAAATGCCTAAATATAAAGAATTTAAATTCTTTTCAGACTTATCCATATACACCAGGCAAAGTCCCCAAAAAATTTAGGCCATAAGTGCCCTGTGTATTGTAAGTTTCCCCATGTATTTCTATGTATTTCATGTATTATGCCCTGTTGACCATTCGGGAGTGCCCATGCGAATGGAACCCGTTCGTCTCCCGAATGAGGACCACCCTGGTACACCATTAGAATGTTCATACCAATCAATCAGAATGTTCGCACCTGCAACACAAGTGTGAAACCACAAGGGAAGTAATTAATAAATGCTCCCCTCTGTGGCCACCATTTCGTATAGGCGAACGCCACCCAGGCCGAGCATTCATATCCCGAAAAGGAGATTCTTCCCTTGAAGGGTCTTCACACCAGTACTCCACGAATGGGTCCCTGAGGTTGGTGGGGACACTGTTGGGGTACTGGTGGTTCGGATTGCCCTACCTGCTCCTAACGGAGCTATAATCACTGCATTCCCCGGGAGCTGCAAGGCCAGGCTCAAAGCTGCCTAAGGAGTGCTCTCCCTGGGGCTGGGGTCACCCAGCTTCCGAACAAAAGCCCAAATTGCCCTACCCAGCCTCTAAGATCCCTAATGTACTTGAGGAGGAGTTTCAGCGAAGGCTGCAAGAAGCGTTATCCCAGGATCATGGCCCTGCCTCAGAAGAGAGTGACCTGAACTGGGGGGTGGTTATTCAAAATGATCTTTGGAGGGAGGACCTCAACAAATTTCAAACCTTCAGTAGCAGAGAACCCCCGGTCTGTGCATAAAAGCTGTGAAGCAATGAAGGATTGTCAGTGTTTTTACCTCCAGAACTGTGTGGCATCCAGTTACTGGGGGTGGGAAATAGATGCCTGCTTGTTGTAAGGGTTCCTGAACAGCAGAAGGAAGGGAATTAGTGGAGGTAACTGGTTGGGTTAGCCGTGGTCCGCTACAATCACCTATACACTCATGAATATATACTCTCCAAATGTTTATCCAGTAAGATTTTTAGAAAAAACTATGAATAGATGGATGGAACTGATTCAAGGTGTCCATCTTTTGGGGGGTGACTAACAGTTTACTCGACATAAAACTCAATAAGAGCATAAGTTCAGGTAAACAGATAGACCCAAAGATTAAAAGAGCTGCAGAAGTCTCTATGATGTTTGGAGGACAATGCACCCCCAGGGGGCTATTTGCAGGGGCTCTGGATGCTCGAGCTCGGCATATCCTATGTGTCAGTATTCATTGCAATGGCAAATACCCCGAGGAAATAGCATCCTCTGACTGGACGTTCAGTCCTTAGCATTTTCTACTTATTTCTTTACTTTCAGCATTCATAGTAGTAGTGAGTGGCTTACTGTGAGAGCAGGCTTTTTTAAGGGGTGCCCACGAAGGCACATTAGACTTTATCACTGAGATAGGAGTAAAGTCTAATAGTACTCCTCCCCCTTTCTATATATATGAAGCCTTTTGGCTCTAACACTAGTCAAACAGTGTATCATTATTGTATTTGGTGGTAACATTTATTTGTTAACACACACTGCTACTATCTTGCTATATTACTCAGCACCACATACACAGGGAGGACTGGACCTTTGATACTTGATTTTATAGTTTATTTTATATTGATTGATACAATAAAAGTTACGTTTTATTAATTCCCGCTACTCTCTTTTCAAGAGATTTTGTTTTCTTTTCTTTTTTCTTATCCCAATGTAAATCAAATAATATTATTAACAATGCTTTGATTACTCTTCAAAAGACCAGAAAACGCTTTTCACTAAAGAATGGTTTGACCTTTAATGCTGCAATCGAAGCATTATCTCTATATATGGACTTAAATGTCATATCATGGAAAAATAATGGGATTAAGATTTAGAATTTTACTGATATTCAGGATAGATCCAATCTACCTGATAAAGAATTTTTTTACATATCTAAGACTAAGAAACTTCTTGAAGGAAAACTCTAATATTTAAAATTCCTTTTTAGACGACTTTATAGCAAATCACTATAACTCTAACCTAGTATCTAAAGTTATTCAACTAATGGATACAGTCTCAGAAGTAATTAGAACATCTTTACTCTGTAAATGGGGAATTGACTTAGGGGTAACACTTACAGAAGATACATGGTATAAAGCTTGGTCCATCACAAGAAAATCAATACATTCTGTTAATTTGCTGCAAATGCACCTAAATATAATTCGCAGATGGTATATGGTCCCTACAAGGATGCATAAAATCAATATATCCAATTCAGAAACATGTTGGAGATGTAAAAAAACACCAGGGTAATATGCTTCATATATGATTGGAATGTGAAGGTCTTGATAAGATAAAACTTAACCTTCACTCCTTAATTTGGAATGTATTTGATATTAAAATATTGGTTACTCCTCAGTTATTCCGAGATTGCCGAGATTGACCAAACCTATAAATCTCCTTCTTATATATTTTCTCTTGGCAATAAAGATCTCCTTAGCTAGGTACTGGCTTAAAACTGAAACACCTCATTGGAAAGAAATCACAGCTTACTGTCAGGATTACTAGTAGATCCAGCACGCAGAATTATATTACACCTAAGACTAAAGGTAACGTCTTACCAGGCCTTAGAAGGGCTGGACTTAACGTACCAGAGAATAGTCAGAATACTTGCCGAGGTCAGGGACACAAAAGGAGACACAATGATGAGGGAAAACCAAAAGTCAAGGATACCAGAATATAGGGAAGTCAAAATGAAGCCAAAGTCAGTAACCAGAAATAAACGCTCAGGAACACACTCTCGCACAACCACTAGGGAAACCACGACAGGTCAATGAGAAGTAAAAATGTGTTTAAATAAGCCGTAACCGGCCTTTGACCCCAGAAAGTGCGTCTTTTGCATGACATCACACGTACGTTGATGTCGTCATTGCCGTGGGCGGACGTGGGGGCTATAAAATGGCATGGATCCACAGCGGCCAGCGGCCACCAACATGTTGCAGGTGTCGAGTATACTGGGGCATAGCTGCTGAGCAGCACAAGGTGAGGATGATATGTTACACTTACTTAGACTATCAATTTGAT